CATTGGCAGTGGGGATTTCTGCTGCACATTCTCTGAATCAGTTAAAGGATAAGTTTACTTTTATACAAAAATGAATAATAAAATGCACATTTTTATATCTGCAAAAATATGTGCAATTATTTTTTGTTACAGAGCCTGTAAAGCATTGCACCAGTAATCAGCAGATCTCTGGTGCCATGCGGGTCTCCTGCAGACCTGTCAGCATATCTGCTTGACCATACAGGATTTACAGGCAAGCAGATATACTGACAGGAAGAATCAATGAGCTCTACAGCGCTGTGGTAGTTTATCGAGAACTACAAGCCGACAGCCGCTAAAGCTGCCGGGGCTTGTAAGCGCTCATTCACAGAACACAATGAACGAGTGATGCGGCTGAGTGGGCGGAGCCCCGCACGGCCACATTTTTAACAAATCTGACAGCTAGTGAGTGAGAAGATCCCTTGTTAGCTGTTAAAGGGGGGGGAGCAGGGGCCAGTCTAATCATAACATGTTACATGGTTACACCCTGAATATGGGTGTAACATGTAACATGTTATGAAAGGTGAACTTATCTTTTAAAGCAGAAATATGGGATTTTTTTTTTTTTTTGCCCATGCAGTGGGGCTGTTCCAACACTGCATGGATTAAATGCTAATTTTGTTCCAGGGGACAGGACACTGAAGATATACTCACCTGATCCGCCGATCCTCCCTGCACAAGACCAGTCCTTTCCATCCTGTTATTCCCCCCCCCCCCCACCGGGTCCAGCAGTCTTGTAATTGGACTGTTCCTGATGTCAGCATGCTCAATCTGGCCCTGACAAGAACAATCTACCGCTGAACCATGGGGGAGCATTGGTTTCCATAGGATCGGCGGGGCAGGTGAGTATGAGATTAGTCTTCACCCCTAGAAAAGATGAGCAGCTGATCCATGCAGTTGAGGCACAGCCCCACTGCATGATAAAAAAAAAATAAAATAAAATAAAATAACTGGAGTTCTGCCTTAAGTTAGACCATCAACTTATGAGAAAGGGTATTTCATGTTAACCGTTGCGGGTGTGTATGTTAAGTTAACACCCCGATTGGTTCGTAAAACGCAGTGCGATGTGCAGAATCAATGGGAGTGAATACCCATACAAAATGTATATATCAAATTGTACTTCACATAATTTGCATGTGATTTGCACAGGAATGTGGTGCGGTTCCTGTGCGAATCACATGCGATGTTTCACACCACAGAAATGTGAACCCAAGCTAAAGCTAAAATAAACATTTAGATAGAAAGAAAACAAATATACTACTGTATATTGGTTTATTGACAATGCTTTTGTGTAGTTCTAGAACAGAAGCCTACCTTGAGAATATTCATGGGAGAGGATATGTATAGATGGCTCGTTGGTCTAGGGGTATGATTCTCGCTTTGGGTGCGAGAGGTCCCGGGTTCAAATCCCGGACGAGCCCTTGTTTTTGTTTTTTTTTTTTTGGCCATACATATGTGTTAATCAGAGTATTTTATAGGGGCGTTAGGTTACCATAAAAAAAAAACTTAGATTGTGTTCGTCAGGGTTTTCTGTTCACATTTTCTCTGGTGGTTCTTTCATGTATTATCCTTCATATTTACACACTAGAAACCATCTCAGCCAATATTACAAGAAAACACTGAAAAGAAACAATATAATGGGCAGGATTTGTGACTGCACGTGTTGTACACATTATTTTATGAACAGATCTATCCTCAGAATACAGATGTTCATTTGCGGCAAGTTGAGAACTCAACATCTGTAAACAGGCTATGATCACAACACTGTGTATCTAAGGTGAAAGAAAAACAAGGGCTCGTCCGGGATTTGAACCCGGGACCTCTCGCACCCAAAGCGAGAATCATACCCCTAGACCAACGAGCCAGCTATTCATGCTTTCTTCCATGAATCTTTTCTAGGCAATCATATAAAAAATAAAAATGGAAATTTTCTTCTAAAGAAATTTTATGATAGTTTCTGTAGTGTCTGCAGAAATACCAGTATACATTTCTTCACTTGGATTCACCTTGCAGAGGTTATAATCCTTCTCCCCCACACAGCATATTGGCTGGATTCTCACATTGTAGAGTTCACCTGGCACCAGAAAGTAGCATTGGCGTATAAGGGGTTCTTTCACACTTGTGGTGGAGTGCAGTGCTGTCTGAAGAGTGATCTGTGTCTGGGTCAATTTTCAGAGGGCATTTGACAGGTGTTGAGGAGGCGTTATATTGCCTCCCCTTGACCACCCGTCTTGTGTTCACAATGCAGCAGGGCAGCCAATCAAAACAGGACCTGGAAGCTGGTGGAGATCACCGATGCCCATACCTCCCAACATTCTGAAGTGAGAATGAGGGGTACCTTATACTACAAAGTATGCAGGCAAGGGACACACCCCTGCTGTGCCCCCAGTACACAATCATGACGAAATAAAGTGATTGTAAACCCTTACATATACCCACTGAAGTGTTTATCCTCAGGTGATACACAGAAATGAAACCAATCCAACCACATAAGTTGCAGCTCTATCCTCTACAGCCATTTAAAGTGCGCAGTTTACACAGCATTTCTGAGATCCAGCAGGCAGGGGGCGGGGGTCTGATGTCAAGCACTGCACAACACAAAAGACAGCAACCAATCCTTGAGCTTGGTTTTGTAATTTTATTATGGGGTTTAGAACTTGGATGGGGTAAGGGTGTATGGGATGTCCAAAGGAACTGCAACTGAGGACAACTTAATGGAACTATGTACAAGTCTTTACACAGCGAAATTCTCTTCTTGGATAGCTCTCCATCCTCTCCTGGTGTACCACCTAAGACCCCAGATAATCCTCCTCTATCCAGCTGTCTGAAGGAATCCTTGGGAAAGGGATTCAGTGCCTGCCACTTTAAGGAGAACAGTTCTGGGCAAGGAGCTAATCCAGTTTCCCATCAGAGTGCTTCTTTCCCCTTAACTGGCCCAGGGGGTGTAGGATTACTCAGTCCTGTTCCTATTAGCTGGTGGGTTAATAGCTGCTTTCAGGCCTTCCGCTGGGCTGGCTCCTTCCCTACTGCACAGGTGGTCCCCACTCTGGGGGCCAATGAGGTCTGAACTTTCCCTCTTCTCTAGCACCACTGCCTGGAGGTTAGCCCCTTCCCATCTGGGCCCCTTCCCAGGCTCCTGCACCTCAGCTTTCTCATTCCATCTTCCACTCGAACTCTCCTGCTGCTGAGCAGGCTCTGTCACATTTAAGGGCTGCCCTGGCCCCATGCCAAGCCTCCTGCTTGGGGATTGGCCAGGGTCCCCTAAGTGTGCAGGCCAGCCCCTCCTCACCCCCACCCACTGCTTCTAGAATCTTCTCCAATATTCTAGAGCAGGAGAAGGTATCAGGGAACTGACCTGCAGAGCCTCTCAGTCCTGACCTAAATTTGACCCCTTCTGACTATTCCACCTAGGCTGCTACTCAGCCCTCCTGACTAAAAATTGAACTCTAGCTACCCCTGGCTATCTAGAGGGGTGCTACAAGTGTAATCTGAGACCTGAGTGGACAGATAGGACACATTGCTCTCTAAACATTCTTACAGGGAAACTTTCACAGCTGAGGCTGTCAGTCACCTTCTGTGCGCTGGAAGGGGGGGGGGCTCTCCCGAGACTGCTGGGTGTGGGGATAAATGATCAAATGTGACTCATGCAGATTGCCAGGGTGAGGAGAGAAAAGCTGGAAATCACACTAGGTGCTTTAGGCTGAAGCAAGTACACAGTGTAGAAGGAAATACTTTGCTCATTTTTCAATTCAGCAGTTTAATATGTAAAAAATGATTGGATAAATCAACAATTGCTTTTTTTCAACATTAATTTTTCTTTTATACTGTCTTTTTACAGTAACAATAAGTTCAATAATTTAAAATTAGAATGAATAGAGATCTGTTTATCAGACCAAAGAGGGACAACTGAGGAGGAATTAGGGACAGTGGGATTTGGTTTAAAAAGAGGGACAGTCCCAGCAAAGGAGAGACAATTAGGAGCTATGATGGTGCCTACAACAGTCAATTTCCAGATTCTATGGGGATCCCACAATCACATATATTCTAACATTGGTCCAAGCTGGATCAATGTACATATAACACTGCCATACCTAAACTTAATTCTAAATAAACCAAAGCTGGGGCTAGTATGAATGTAGCCTTAGGCACTCGGGGTTGTAGGATGTACATTTCAGGTGATCCACAGATGCTGTTTATAGCCAGCCATAGAAATCAGTTACAGGATGCTGCTGTACATGGGTATATGCCGGCATAAACACACGCACAAAAGTGCACATATGGATGAAGACTGTATGGGGTTTATTTACTAAACCTGGAGAGTCCAAAATTTAGACTCCCTTCTGCATAGAAACCAATCAGCTTCCAGGTTTCATTGCCAAAGCTTCATTGAACAAGCTGAGGTTAGAAGCTGATTGGTTTCTATGCAGAAGGGAGTCTGATTTTGGACTCTCCAGCTTTAGTAAATAAACCCCTATGTGTCCAGGGGTACATGTCTGTATATGTGCTAATGAAAGTATTAACACATACCTACGTACCGTCCTTGATTTCTATGGGAGGCTGTATGCAGTAGCCGTGGTTCCAGGTGGGGAGATACAAGCAAATTTTATGTCCCCAGGTACTCGCATGTATGAGGTCTTAGAATGATATACAAGTGCCACAATTATGAGACTGTCAGTCGATTTCTATACCTGCTGTGCATGGGCAACTTTATATGACATTCAGAATATAAATGTTACAATAACTGAATCTTTTATAACTTGCGTAAGGTTTACCTTACACTTGTTTTCCCCTCTCCTAATCTCCCTCTCTAGTCCTCATTATCTGTGATTCTACATCATGTTAAGAACATCCATAAATCTTTTGTGAGTAAGATTACTGGCTGATCCTGATGAGTACTTAAAAGGATTGCAATAAGAAAAGGCCCTATATAATGGAATGGGAGGGTGACCCAGGGACAGAGATTTGTACACAGAAAGGGAGGGATGTTGGGTGACGAAGATTTCTACATCTTTAAGAATGTATCTGATATACGGCCATGGGATGGTCCTCAGTATCATATTGCACCAAGATGGGCCTTCACCCTCCAGGCAGTTTTTATGGGTGCGGTCTTTATTATTGGCACGCCACTAAACGCTATTGTATTGGTGGTGACGGTGAAATACAAGAAACTTCGGCAACCACTCAACTACATCCTAGTAAACATCTCAGTGGGTGGCCTTCTCATATGCATCTTTTCCATTTTTGTAGTTTTTATGAACAGCTGGCAGGGCTACTTCATTTTTGGGAAGACATTTTGTGCTATTGAGGCTTTTGTGGGTACACTTGCAGGTAAGACAAAAATAACAGCCATATTGTGACCTAAAATCTAAAATTAAAGTATGACTAAGAGCAACATTTTAATTTCCATATTGATTGAGTGGTTAAGAGTTAGAACAATTGTCGGGTTGGAATTGCTGTCTGTGTCCCCATTAGGGAGATTTGCTCTCTCTAATTGATCATAACTGTCAACAGGGATGGAAGTTAGGAGGGTAAATCCAAAATCTGGAGTTGCCATCGTAACTAACATTGAGGGACAATCTTCCAATAATTACATTTGTTGAAGTGACAAGAGGGGATATCTCTCACATTAGAAAGATTTCCTTATCTGTTGAGTCTACAGGACAGGAAGTGAAGGGAAGACTTCCTTAGGAGGATCAGATGGCAAAAAAAAAAAAAACAACCTGACAGAAGTTTTAACCTTCTACTCTATCTAATATAGAACAATGCTTGAGATGTACTTTAAACTGTGGCTTTCTTAAGCAAAAAAAAGTCTTGCTGGTTTTAAGTTTCAAATTCTGGGTTGTTGAAGTAACTGTCATATACAGCTATATTTGTTACATACATGCCAGTCCTTGCTGTTGCTCACAAATATGACACTTTACTTCTCGTCAACCACTTTTAATCCATGTAACCTTGACTAACTGCCCTGTTTAATTCATCTAGCAATGTTGTTTAATGAATGCACATTTCTCTGTTTGAATGTTTGCTTGCAAAACTAGAATCATAAATCAGCTTTTGTTATTGCCAAAGGTTGCTGTGGGTCACATTTGCTGGCTAGCGCTTCAATGTTCCATGCTTTTTAAGTCAGCCTACAGATGAGCCTTTCTCAACTTTGTTACTCTAGAGCAGTGATCTCCAAACTGCAGCCTGGGAGCCAGATGTGGCCGATTGCTTGCCTTTATCCAGCCCTTGGGACACTTTTCCTCCCACTGACACCAACAATGGGGCATAATTCCTGCTACTGACATCAACAATGGGGCACTGTTTCTCCCATTGACACCAAAGATGGGGCACTATTCCTCCTGCTGACACCAAAGATGGGGCACTATGCCTCCCCAAATACCAAATATGCACTGTTTACTCCCACTGATGCCAGGGCAATTTTTACTCCCAATGGCCACAGTCCGGGCCCCCTAAAGTCTGAAGGACAGTAAAGGGCCCTTTGGAAACCCCTGCTCTAGAGGAGCCCCTGAAATGATTTTTAGGATCAAGGAACCCTTACTAAAACCAGGCATCAGTGGAATGTCCCTCACATTGGAGGTTAGTGGCAAGAATGCCCCTTTACAGGTAGCTAAAAAGATGGTGCCATGCCACTGACTCTGCCAAGAGGTATTAACTCTGGAACTATGATGGCACCATCAAATGGGAGTTCAATCAGCATACAGCTCAAGGAATTCCTAGCATCCTCTGAAGAAATCCTAAGGTTCCACAGAACCCTGGTTGAGAATGGCTGCTATAGATAGTACACCTGATAAATAACAGTGTAAAGAGATGCCTCTTTGTGCAAAATGTGGAAGAACTTGCTATTCTGCACTAGGGAAGTTCTACACAGTCTGATGGGTGCATTGGGCTATCACCTTGACTTGGAGTCAGGCCATATGTGGCCATGGTTATGCTGGCAATAGAAATGACACATTTCAGGCAATTTCAACAAATCCCAACTGGCTTTTAACTCCAAAATCATCTGGATGGATCAAGGAAACATAACATCTATAGTTTTTGGCAAAACTGTGAAATGAACACTGTTGGTGAGAGCTGTCTCAATATATACATTCATCGACTTTAACAAACTTAGAGTTAAAGCAAGAAACCAGGCTTCACTTTGTTGTATGACTGTAAGATCATGGCTTGCAGGCCTACACCAGTATGATGGTTTTATAGAATGTACCAGAAAAATAGACAAACTTTATACCATTAGTGGGAAACTGTTGTCACTGTACAGCCAGCCATGCATCAGTAGAATTGTGTTCGAACATTCGTGTGGGAATTCTGGAAAGTGTCAGAGCATTTAATAAATCAACTAATTTTGTATGAAAGTCCTTAAAATTTTGTCCAGACATGCTACTTGAATGGAATTTCAGATGTACTAAGCAGGTTTTCGTTTTTCCCTAGAACAAGAGCCTTACAACGTGGACAATTTTTCCTCAATGAAAACCACATTCAGGGTCATCTATGGGTGTTTTGCCTGTAGAAGCAGCTCAGTGTTATCCTATGTGTCCATACACATTAGGACTCTTAGAGGCATATTTTAAGCTCAGTGTTTAGAGGCAGAAAAAAAACACTTTTGGTTTGCATTTTTGAATAGAGTTTTCTGGAAAAAAAAACCCTAAATGCTCCTAAATGCTTTTAAATGCCTGTACAAAAATGCTGTATATGAGTGTTTTTTTCTGCTAAAAGAACTGCCGTTTTTTAAGCCCAGTGTGCATGGAGCCTTACAGTTAGAATTTTGTTTGTTTGTGAAAAAAATTCCATCCCTGCTCAAGTGTTCTTGTCACTATGATCAAAAACCAACATTGATTTGACCCCACTAACCATGAGAAAATCAAACAAATATTCCAAAAATAAAAACTTGTCGTACAATATTCCAGGTGTATCGCCAGCTTTAGGCAGACAGGTTTCTCATTTCACTGAAAGTTGTAAGACCGGCCATGTGTAGTGCTAATCATAGTGTATATATTTACCAAGACTTCTGCTTTGTACGTCCAGTCAAAGATTCTGCTGCAATTTCAAATGGAAGCCAAAGAAACTGACCTGAAAAGTCCACTATTTTCAATGGGGCCCATTCTATGGCTGCCACCTGGCCAGTAGAGAATGAAACTTCTTACCATTGTTACTAATAGGAAAGAGATCATAAGATCGATATTGTTTCAGAGAAAAGGAGACAACCTTCAGAGCCCAATTCACACCAGCAGATGCACATTACGCTCTGAGTGTGCAGTAAAGGGGCAGTGTGATGCTTTGTTACATATGTATCGTACTGTTTGTATATTTTTTTAAAATTTATTGAAATGCCACACATTTCATTCAACTTTACGCATCAAAGCCGGGGGTGTTCATACTATCTGGCAAGTTGATATGATGGTATGGGCCCTAAACCACTCACACCAAAGTGTTGCACGAAGTTCCATTTGTTACAAATCTCACATGCAGCATTTTACTTCTGTCCGTTGGCATTTCTGAATGAACAGGGTTCTAAAGACATGCCAGAAATGGAAAATGTACATTGAAGGCTGTACATATGTGCAAGTGAAGTTTGCTTAGTTAGGAACTGAAATTCAGACGAAATTTGCATTATTTGGTGATTCAGGTGCATCTGAATCTCCAAATTACAATAGTAACGAACTTCAACGAATCTGAAATAAATTTTAACGAAAACAACAAATTAATTTGTATTCATTCGTTTCATTCGGATGACATGATGCGATAGTTTGGGCCTTTTGTTAACCTCTTGGTGTCGGCCACATGCAAATGTGCGGCCTTCTGGCATTTGGGCCTTGACGCCGAACGGCCGCACATTTGCATACAATTAAGAAAAACATATGTGCTGAGAGTGCACGCCCTGCGCACTCCCATCACGTATGTCTGGTACTCACGGAAAGGTCCCGATCTCCTCTTTTGATCGGGACCTATCCCGATTATGTGACCGCCGTGACAGTGAATCACGGCGGTCACATGACCCTAAAATCCTGCCCTGTCTCCCAGCTTCTGAAACCCTTACAGGGCCGTAAGGTGCCAGTGCCAAGGGGTTAATGTTTAAAGCATCCGAAATACTGTAACGACATAAATAATCCAAATTTATTCGGATCCATTTGTTTTTATGCTAGTGAATATTCTAATAAGATTCTTTTTGTATTGGGGTTGAACTTGAGAGTCCGTTTGTTTAATTTGTCGTGTGTGGCCCAACCAAGTCATTTTGGAATGAGGAATGTAATTCAACTTAATAATATAACAAGTACAGGCGTACCTCGGTTTACGAATGCCTCTGTTAACATAATTTTCGGTTTACGAATGAAAATCCATTGAAAATAATGCCTCAGTTTACAAATTTTTTTTGCAATATGAAGTAAGTAAGTTTCCCCATGATGCATTGCACCTGGGAGGTTTATAACGCCAGCCCCATGCCTTTAAAGTGCACTTTATAAAGGGTTTTGAACAGATTCTACTTTTTTTTACTTTTTTCTGACCTCCGGAATGGATTAATTGGATTCCAATGCATTCCTATGGGAAACCGCGTTTCGGTTTACAGTGTTTTTGCAATACGAAACGTCCCGGAGAACTCATTAAATTTGTAAACCGAGGTACGCCTGTATATATTATATATATATATATATATATATATATATATATATATATATATGTGATTTTGCATCTCCGGGTAGGGGTTGTGCTTGTGGCTCACCACCATTGGCAGTCTTGGCTGTCAATCAAAGTGATTCCCCGCCGGCACCCGGCGATCACCGAGTATCACAGACGGGGAAGAGACCTGTATGTAAACAATACAGATCTCTCCCCGTCAGCTCCTGCAGACTGCTTTGTTTGGCTCTGCATAGCAGAGCCATACAAAGCAATGTGCTTACAGTGTAAAGCATACACACAGCACACAGTAAAACAGCACACAGTTAACCCTTTGATCGCCCCAGATGTTAACCCCTTCCTGCCCTAGTGTCATAAGTACAGTGTCAGTGCTTTTTATTACCACTGATCACTGTATTGGTGTCACTGGGGATGTCAGTGGCAGTTAGTCAGTTCCCACCCAGTGTCAGAATGCCCGCTGCAGTCCTGCAGTCCCGCTATAAGTCACTGATTGCTGCCATTACTAGTATAAACAAAAAATTCCACTATATATACCGCCATTTGTAGATGCTATATCTTTTACGTAAACCAATTAATTTACACATATTGGGATTTTATTTTAGCAAAGAAATGCCGCAGAATATATTTTGGCATAAATTTATGACTAAATTTGATTTTTAAATTTTTTTACTGCACGTTTAATAGCAAAAGTTCAAAAATATTTTTTTTTTCAAAATTGTCTGTCTTTTTTTTGTTTATAGCGCAAACAATAAAAGACACAGAGATGATCAAATACCAGTGAAAGAAAGCTCTATTTGTGGGAAAAAAAGGATGTAAATTTCATTTATTTACAGTGTTGCATTACTGTGCAGTTGTCAGTTAAAGTATCGCAAAAAAAGACCTGGTCAGGAAGGGGGGGTAAATCCTCTGGAGGGCAAGTGGTTAATGATGTTAACATGAATATAGACAATTTTCCGAAATAACAAAAGAATAACAGAACCTGTGAAAATATGAATCGATTCGGAACAATGAATATCTACTCTCCTGAAATAAGGAATGGTTCCCAAAATGAATCATTCTAACATAACGAATATGAGGGGGAAAAAATGATTTACTTAACAAATAAAACAAATGTTCCTGTCATGGACATCTGTAATGCACGGGCCTCTTCAGTGAACTGCACTGGCACAAGTATTTTTCTCATTATTATTATGAATTGAGATTTCTGAATGATCCCATGTTCACACAGGATAGCAGCCACTAATCTCCCAAATGTTCATTGCTGCCTTCAACACAGAATGAGGGCTGAGGTGTACCTCAGGGCAGAGGTGTCTATAGGGTTGGTGTCACTCAGTGTGATAACACTTGGTGACACCCTCTCCGACGATCGCCGCAGAATGGATTGGATCTGCAGATTGAGCATAATGAATCGGACTTCGATCCATTATGCTCAATCCTCAGATCCGATCCATCCTGCGGGGATCGTCAGCTTGCTTTACAACTAACCTTTTCGTGGAGCAGGTCCGGTGTCACTCCGTATATGTTGCATGCCGACGATCCCCGCAGTATGGATCGGATCTGCGGATTGAGCATAATGGATTGGAGTCAGATCCATTATCCTCCCCAATCCGCAGATCCGATCCATCCTGCGGGGATCGTCGGCATGCAACATATACGGAGTGACACCGGACCCGCTTCACGAAAAGGTTAGTTGTAAAGCAAGCTGACGATCCCCGCAGGATGGATCGGATCTGCGGATTGGGGAGCATAATGGATCAGACCCTGATCCATTATGCTCAATCCCCAGATCCGATCCATCCTGTGGGGATCGTCAGCTTGCTTTACAACTAACCTTTTCGTGAAGCGGGTCCGGTGTCACTCCGTATATGTTGCATGCCGACGATCCCCGCAGTATGGATCAGATCTGTGGATTGAGCATAATGGATCGGAGTCTGATCCATTATCCTCCCCAATCCGCAGATCCAATCTATCCTGTGGGGATCGTCGGCTTGCAACATATGTGAGGTGACACCGGACCCGCTCCACAAAAAGGTAAGTTGTAAAGCAAGCCAACGATCCCCACAGGATGGATCGGATCTGCGAATTGAGGAGCATAATGGATCGGACTCTGATCCATTATGCTCAATCCGCAGATCCGATCCATCCTGCGGGGATCGTTGGCTTGCTTTACAACTTACCTTTTCGTGGAGCGGATTCCGTGTCACCCTGTGCGGTAGGTGTCACCCGATGCGGCGCGCACCCCCCCGCACCTGCCTAGGGACGCCACTGCCTCAGGGGTAGGTGAGGTAAGATTGGGGTACAGTCTCGTGAGGTAAGATTGGGGTGCAGTCTCCTGAGGTAAAATTGGGGTGTAGTCTTGTGAGGTAATATTGGGGTGTAGTGTTGTGAGGTAACATTGGGGTACATTCTCGTGAGGTAAGTTTGGGGTGGTCTCGTGAGGTAAGATTGGGGTACATTCTCGTGAGGTAAGATTGGGGTGTAGTCTTGTGAGGTAAGATTGGGGTACATTCTCGTGAGGTAAGTTTGGGGTGGTCTCGTAAGGTAAGTTTGGGGTGCAATCTCGTGGGGTAAGACTGGGGTACAGCCTCGTGTCTGGCTGGTTATGACTACTCTGCTGTGATTCCTGATTTGCACTTGTTTTGTTCTTATAGGTTTAGTGACAGGCTGGTCTCTGGCTTTCCTGGCCTTCGAGAGGTACATTGTCATCTGCAAACCGATGGGCACCTTCACCTTCACCTCAAAGCACGCCTTAGCGGTTGTGCTGTGTACCTGGATGATTGGGGTCGGGGTGTCGGTACCCCCTTTCTTTGGGTGGAGTAGGTGAGTAATTATTTGGCCTTGCACTATCATGTGTTTCCTCATATCAGCCAGTCTTTGACCTCCAGGACATGATACAATTTGGCGGGATGCATGCTACACGGAAAGCCTACGGTCAGCCGGATCACACACGAAACACAGCACACCAGCTCTGATTGATATAGTAGAATGCTGGAAGGGCCACCGGAGGACGTCAGCTTACGTGGGGCGCTGTGGCTTAGTTGGTTAAAGCGCCTGTCTAGTAAACAGGAGATCCTGAGTTCGAATCTCAGCAGTGCCTGCTCTTTTCCTAATATCAGTTAACAAAACCCCGACTGGTAATTAAACAGCTGCATGTAAATTCCTTTTTACACACATATTTAAAAGCAGATACCAGTCTATTATGATGGTAGCATTAAGGCTTCATTCACAACCAGTGATGTGGGAGCGTTGTGTTTCTTGCCGCAGTTTTGAAGCAACACCACTCAATTGAATGGGCTGCCCTCTGCCTCAAATATTGCCTCAAAAATGCACCACAGTAGCCCCTGTATGTACCTTTTTTTAAGGTGACTTTTGTGCATTTTGGAACTGCAGGACTTTTTGCACATTTTGTTGCACAGCAAAATGCCTGCTTTCTCATCAGCTTTGGGGTGCCATTAGCGATTAAGACGCAGTACCCGTGCATTTCCTGTGCCATTCAGTGCAATGCGACTTTCAGCCTATTCATTTGAATGATATAAATATGAAAAAAATGTGAGAATTGCGCTTAAAGCGTGAAAAATAGATCAAATATGAATAAATACACAAAAAAATGAATAAATACAAAAATGCTGCTACTTCAAAAATATCAAACAAAACACATAAATGATCACTCAAAGAGGTGATCCAGTAGCGCATAAATATATAAGTGAAAAACAGTGAACATAAAAAGTGAAAATTGAGTGTGCAGTCCAAAGAAAATCCGAAAGCAACTTCTTATCCACCCGACAGGGGGAACATCATTTTCTTTTTTTACGTGGTGATTTAGTTTGAAGATTTGGAAGAATCGCTTGGAGAAGAAGTAGCTTTCAAACTTTCTTTGGACTACACACTCAATTTTCACTTTTTATGTTCACTATTTTTCACTTATATTTATGCACTACTGGATCACCGTTCTGAGTGTTCATTTATGTATTCATTTGAATGTCCAAATCTTGTAGACTTCACCTCTGCAACATCTCCAAGATACGCCCGTTCTTAACCTCGGAAACCACTAAGCAACTTATTCACTCCCTTGTTATATCTCACGTTGACTACTGTAACTCCCTCCTCATTGGCCTACCTCATTGCAGGCTATCCCCTCTTCAGTCTATCATGAATGCTGCTGCCAGACTCATCCACCTTACTAACCATTCTGTATCTGCCACCCCTCTCTGCCAATCCCTCCACTGGCTTCCCATTGCCCAACGGATAATATTCAAAACCTTAACAATAACATATAAAGCCATTTATAACTCTGCCCCAAATTACATCACCGATCTTGTCTCCAAATATCACCCAAACTGTACTCTCTGCTCCTCGCACGACTGCCTGATCTCTAGCTCCCTTGTCTCCTCCTCCCATGCTCATCTCCAGGACTTCTCCAGAGCTTCCTCCATCGTCTGGAACTCTCTACCCCAATTTATCAGACTATCGCCTACTCTGCTCACTTTTAGGCGATCTCTGAAAACCTTTCTCTTCAGGGAAGCCTATCCTGCCCTCAGCTAATAATGGAATCTTCTACTCCTCCTACCAGTCCATTCCCCACAGTTACTACCTTTGTACCACTAAACCCCTCCCTTCTAGATTGTAAGCTCCAAGGAGCAGGGCTCTCCTAACCCTCTTGTATTGAACTGTATTGTTGCTGCATTGTCTCCCGTTATATTGTAAAGCGCTGAGCAAACTGTTGGCGCTATATAAATCCTGTATAATAATGAATAATAATAATAAATAATAATAATATGAATGGGCTGAAATTGCACTGAATCAAAGCAAAGATACTGCTTTTAAAAACCCACTGCAACTGGATTGCGTGGTACTGCAGTACCGCGCAATCCGGTGCAGGCAAACACACTGCATTTGCGATCTGCGTTTAGGGTGTCATTAGAAATCTATTGACACCCGCAGCAGATCGCACAGCCAGCGTGCTTGGAACATGGTGCAGGAAATGCACATGGAACACGGGTTTTCTGCACCTTGTTCTGGCATGAATGGCACTTAAAGGAAAACTAAAGTCAACATCAAATATTAAACCTTGAGTATTTTACAATGAGGATATCCCACCTGTTCAGTAATTCAGTTTTTCATCCAGACCTTGCTTTATTGTACACCCCACTCCCTTTGTCTGCAATCTGATAATCTGGTGTTCCTGGAACACACCTGCTGGTGGAGCTAGAACACCTTCCTTGCTGCCTCATCAGCTCAGAAAGACTAAGGCTGGCCATACATTATACAATTTTCTTGAGATATTTGGTTTAGATTTACCAAAATCCATATAATAGGAGGTCAAACCTAACAACACTTTCAGTTGTATCCAATTAGGCCGGCTCTTGCACTACATAGTTGAAGGTAAGTCTAAAGGAAATTGGGGAGAAATTGGACAGAAAATTGTATAGCGTATGGCCAGCCTAAGACAAGAAAAAAAAAAAGATATAATTGACAGCAGTAAGACGTTTCTCAGCCACCAATCAGATTATTCTGCCGGGTATTACACACAATGCATATAAAGATAAACTGAGTGAATCTCTGACTTGAGAATAGTTGCTGTGTTGTACGATAGTGTTTCATCTTACTGAATGCTTTGACTTGTTGCTTTGAATTGCTGTTTACGTTTTCTTTCTACTTACCTTTCTTGTTCAGGTATATCCCAGAAGGATTACAATGCTCCTGCGGCCCTGATTGGTATACTGTTGGTACAAAATATCGCAGTGAATATTACACGTGGTTCATATTTGTGTTCTGCTTTATTATCCCCCTGAGTCTGATCTGTTACTCTTATGCAAGACTGTTGGGAGCACTGCGGGCGGTGAGTGCTGGAAAAATATGGAAGGCTTGCATGCATTGTTGCCCTCACAATGAATCAGATTTATGTTTTTTTTTTTTCTTTGGATATTTTCTATTTTCTAACCCCTTCTAAAATATCTGGGACCTAATAGGGTACTATGGAGGACACAGACCTTTGTGTGTGTTCATGTTTATCCGTTGATTTGTATAAAAGTGTAACTCTTTTTTTTCAATTTTGGATGGAATGTCAAATCTTATTGCTCTAGCCTTTTGAGGAGATTTTGACTCACTTCCTGTCCTGGTATCAATGTTGTCATAAAGACAGGAAGTGAGAGATGGTGACTCAGACAGCAATAAAAATATTTTGGAGGCTCTACCCTTTCCCTACACTACCCCCCAAAAAAGTTATTATTTTAGTCTGTGTCCCTCTTGGAGATATACCCCACATTACCTACATCTGTTGATGTGTTATGCCAAGGATAGAAAGTGAAAAGATATTTTCCTTAAGTATTTATTAAATATCTTCCCTAGTCTTTAAAGGATAAGTTCACCTTTTAGAAAAAAATTAAACCCAATATTTTCGACTATTTGCCATCATACTTATCCAGTAAAAAAAAAATCTAATTTCTTCATAAATTTAGGCCAAAATGTATTCTGCTACATGTCTTTGCTAAAAAAAAATCCCAATACATGTAAATTAATTGGTTTACGTGAAAGTTATAGCATCTACAAATGGCAGTATATACAGTATACTGGAATTTATTTATTTTTTTGTACTAGTAATGGCAGCGATCAGCGACTTATAGCGGGACTGTGAGACTACGGCAGGCATTCTGACACTGGGGGGGGGGACTGACTAACTGAAACTGACATCCCAATGACACTAATACAGTGATTAGTGCTAATAAAAAAAGCAATGACACTGTACTAATGACACTGGGCATGAAGGGTTAACATCTGGGGTGATCAAAGGGTTAACTGTGTGCTGTTTTACTATGTGTGCTATGTATGTTTTACTAGAGGCACACATCCACAATCTCCTGCGCTCAGGGGCTCCGATCAGAGGAAGATTAATTCAATGAGAGAGTATGTTCATCCAATACTGATCAAAGGTTGTGCAGCTCTATCATGAAGCTGGGTAAGCTTGATACAGACTGTAGCAGAGAATAAAATAAAAGAGCGCAACAGGGGCGGACTGACAACTCATGGGGCCCCTGGGCAATAGGGGATCTTGGGGCCCCTGTGTCCTTGCCCAAACTCAAAAAAGCCTATGAAAAAGGTACCAGGGGCATCTCATGGGGATCCCCTACTGACCCCAGGCCCTGAGGCAGTGCCCAAGTTTCCAAATGGTCAGTCCACCCCTGGAGCGTACCAACCTTGAGCATTACTTCAGTAAACAGTTAATGAATTTATTAATAAATTATACTCACAAGAGTAGCAGTAATAAAGGCATATAAAATCCATAGCCAACACAGGGTTAAAAGTCACGTGCGAGTTCCATCCGGAAGGGAGATAAACTCTTAGTCAAGCTAACATGTTTCGAAGGGTGATCCCTTCTTCATCAGAGCTGAAATTATAGATAGGAATCTTCCATTAAGATTCAGTTCACATTGATAGGAGGCATTCAGCCACTATGTGTCAGTGTTTCTGTCAGTTTTGGCAAAACTGACAGAAACACTGACACATAGTGGCTGAATGCCTCCTATCAATGTGAACTGAATCCTAATCTATAATCCAGCTCTAATGAAGAAGGGATCACCCTTCAAAACACGATAGCTTGACCAAGAGTTTATCTCCCTTCCGGATGGAACTCGCACGTGACTTTTAACCCTGTGTTGGCTATGGATATTATATGCCTTTTTTACTGCTACTCTTGTGAGTATAATTTATTAATAAATTCATTAGATGTTTTACTAGAGAAACATACTGCTGTGTATTTCTCTGCTGTGCAGAGAAATACAAAGCAGCATGTTACTGCTGGCAAGCGAGAGACCTGTTTTGTTTACACACAGGTCTCTCCCCTGTCAGTATCACTCGGCGACCGCTGGGTGCCGGCAGGGAATCTCCGGGCGGGACCCAGTGATCGACATCTGTAGCTGCCGATGGCAGCATGGGTAGGGCGGCGCATGCACATGCCCCCTACCCAGAAATGCAAAATCATGTATATATACGTGATTTTGCGCAGCCCTGCCGCCCTGTAGCAGTACTTCAGCTATAGAGTGGTTGGGAAGCGGTTAAAGAGTAACTTCACCAGTGAAGCTGTCCTTTAATAAACCCCTCACCATCCTGAGTGCAGCCCTTTTCGATGCTATCTTTCTTTTTCAATTTAGTGAAATTTTCTCTAACATGGTCTTGGCCAGCTCCTCTCCATATTTCACATTATGATCCTCTTCATTCCTATGAGTAGGCTGCACTCCAAGGGACTATTGAAGGACATAGTGCCCTTAAAGGCCTTAGGAATAAATGGGGTTGCAACACGTGGACAGTATGAAAAGGAAGCACGTTTGTCCTTAGAGGAAAGATGGCTGGTTTGGGGAATTGGGGAAGTGGATTTAACTTAGGGGCTGTATTCAGAGTGTTGTGTGTATGTTGGATGGGGGGGGGGGGGGGGGCGCAATATTTACTAAAATTTGAAAATTTCCTGAAGATGAATTAACAGTTGTATTAAAAAGGGATCCTTTTTTTTGTTCATATGGCTCGTTGGTCTAGGGGTATGATTCTCGCTTAGGGTGCGAGAGGTCCCGGGTTCAAATCCCGGACGAGCCCTGTTTTTCTCTATGTAAGGTATGTGAATGGATATTAGTAAGCGGGGACATTTCTCATTACATTTTTTAAAACCTTGTAGGCATATCTATAGCCAAGGTTATGTTTTGTTCTCTTTTTTCTTTCACTGTCGTCACTGGGACAGAAAAAGTAAGGGGAAATCTACGTTTTTTGCACTTGCCTTCAGAACGGAGTTGAGGGGTAATCTTCTAATGAAAACACCTCTCTCAGTGCCAACTGTCTATGATGGGATTTCCTCTTATGAGAGCAGGAAAAAAGTCAGCAGTAGAAACAGCAACAAAAATAATGGTGTTAGTGAAGACAGAATTGAATATTTGTTCCATGTCACTAAGAAAGTGTCAAAGCTATAGGTATGACAGTTGAGAAGCTTGAATTTCAGTTCATTCAGTCGCATTTTTCTAAGAAGAGGTTGTGGGTACTAAAACGGTATTGTCTATACTACTTCGGAGGAATTGAGGATCGGCCTAAGTTAATCACTGCAAATGCACAAAAAAAAATTCAACACTGCATACACATTATCAAAAGCAAACAGCGAGCGCTATCGAGAAGGGAGCAACTAGTAATAGTGACAAAAATCTCATAAACAAACTATATAAAAAGTGCAGCGCGTGAAAACATATGCAGTGAATAATGAAACAATTCAGTGACAAAAAATATATGAATAAAATATGAATGAATCTCAGTGTAACCAACAAAATGGTTAACAAGAAAGTCCTTCCAATGTAAATCTGTATGTCAGTAGTGTATTGAAATCAATCACGGCAAATAGTGTTCAGTCCCACACAGTGCTCTGAAATCCAATGTGCAATCCACCACCACTATGCACTCACCAGAAAGCAATTTGTTAAGTAGCATATATGTCATGTGGTCTTAACCATCGGCTCTCCAGTTCAATCCCCCCAAAAAAATCCTCACCGCCCGGAGATCGATATATAGTGTAGCATTTATTTAAAAGTAATCCATAAAAACATTCCACATGGAAAAGTAAAAATAACACATATGCCACATACCAAGATGGCTGCCACTCCTGAGTACAGACATGTCAGCGTGACGTCAGCACGTAGGCTCCACCAACGCGTTTCGTGCACACACACGTCCATGCACGTCCTAGCTGGTTCTCTTCTGAAGGAATGGTTGTTTCTTTCACCGTGTCTCTTCCTGACTGATCAGACTTATCAGTCAGGAAGAGATACGGTGAAAGAAACAACCATTCCTTCAGAAGAGAATCAGCTAGGACATGTGTGGACGTGCATGTGTACAAACACGTTGAATGGAGCCTACGTGCTAACGTCATGCCTCCGCGTTCAGGAGCGGTGGCCATCTTGGTATGTGGCATATGGGATATTTTTACTTTTCCACGTGGAATATTTTTATGGATTACTTTTAAATAAATACTACACTATAAATCAATCTCCGGGCTCTGTGTGGTGAGCATCTTGCTTTAGGATTGAACCGAACTAGTAGAGCCGCCGGAGAGTGGATGGTTTATACCACATGACCTATATGCTACTGAACAATTAGCTGACTGGTGAGTGCATAGTGGTGGTGGATTGCACATTGGATTTCAGAGCACTGTGTGGGACCGAACACTATTTGCCGTGATTGATTTCAATACATTACCGAGATACAGATTTACAATGGAAGGACTTTATTGTTAACCATTTTGTTAGCTACACTGAGATTCATTCATATTTTATTCATATATTTTTTGTCACTGAATTGTTTCATTAGTCACTTTATATGTTTTCACACGCTGCACTTTTTATATATAATGCATACACATTGGTACAGGTACTTTCTTTTGAGAACCATGGAGGGTGTATCTCATTGGTACAGATACAGCCCCACTGCAACTGTGGAGGAAGGGGAGAGGCCAAAGCCAGCCATTCCTGCCAAAGCAGTGATTTCTTCGAATGATACCTAGCAGAGTTCTCTGGTATATAGCTAACTGAAATATAGCCACGTTTGCATTATATTCCTACCCTGAAACCTTTTTTTTTTCTACATTTACAGGTTGCAGCACAGCAACAGGAATCAGCCAGTACACAGAAGGCTGAGAAGGAAGTTTCCCGTATGGTCATAGTTATGATTGGATCCTTTTGTCTATGTTATGTTCCCTATGCAGCTATGGCAATGTATATGATTACTAATCGAAACCATGGACTGGACTTGCGTTTTGTAACTATCCCTGCATTTTTTTCCAAAAGCGCCTGTGTCTACAATCCCGTCATATACACCTTCATGAACAAACAGGTAACTCTGTGACATCACATGTTTATTTTAGTTGTGAGCGCTGAAGGTTTATAGCTCTTCAATGGGTTTTCATTGTTGTTTATGCCTCCATTAGGGAGCTTTAACTTCACATTTTAGTCCTTGTGAAGGTACAAAATACTTTTTCACAGAAGTTTTAAGTTTTGTCAATTTTAGGCCTGTTGCACATCAATGCAGTTTGCTTTTTGCATGGTGCTTTGCTGTTTTGCACATGCATTTTTGACACGTTTTTTAATGTGCGTTGCATTTTTCAGGGCCAACTTATTGCTGTGCAGAATAAATAAGCAAAACGCTCTACATGCGTTTTCTGCAGCGTCGCCATTGAAGTCTGTTTAACCAAAAACACAATGTTTTGCCCCTGACCCCTTCCAAAAATACAGCGGCTCAAAAAAGCATAGATGTGAACGTGTCCCATAGGAAACCATGTTGAATAGATTGTAGGGTATTTCTGCAAAAAGCACCATAAAACGCATTGGTGTGAACCAGGCCTTAGAGAGAATTTCAAGCACATCATGTCCTTCTGAGCCACTGGCAGTAGTACAGAAGTGAAGGGAAATCTACCCAACTGGACACAGAGAGCAATACAACCCTTTTTAACCCTTTCTAATTCCATACGGAAGAAAAATAAATTAGCTGGAGTTGCAGCTGGGAACACTAGTCAGATGTAATGATCTCTCTCCAGGGTTTGTGCTTTCCTCCTTGACAACAAAGCCAAAAGTTAACTAATTTTATTTCCTACAGTTGTTCAACCATCATTAGCCCCTTAGCACTTGCAGTTGGTTTATTAATATTCCTCAGCACAATGCTCTGTGCTGGGGATACATTAATAAAATGATCTTCTTGTGAGTAAACAGATGACAATTTGCAAGGCTCCTGGCTCTCAATCCTGGCTGTTGCTGCTAGGGTCACCACCGAACATTGGAAGTCATTGTGAATCAGACCGGTTCGTGATCATGGGATCCCTATGACAGTTATGACATAGGGGTGTATTTTGGAGGAGCTGTATGCACATTCACCCTGTGCAAATGGGGGCAAGAATGAATGGTACTAGGCTATTTTCTTTCCAGGTCAAATGTTCATTCGTACAGAATAGTGTGAATTAAAAAATTACCGCTATATGACCAATTAGGGGAACTGATGATTATAGATTTTTTTTCTATAATTGTCAGCTCCATTTCATGGCCATTATGCAGTATTTTCCCAAACCACACTATTTTTAATGAAGAGAAAATAGCATAATAGCATTATAGTTTGCTCCCATTAGCACAGAGCAAATGCAGGCATTTTCATAGGATGAATAGTTTTGTATAAATACACCACATAGTAATCACATGTAGGCTGAAGTCTTCACTGACACAAATGAAACCTATAGCCTGCGGGTGAACAATGCCACCTTCAGCATGCAATGTTCATCTGCAGAGCCACTTATTTAAAGGGTAGGTTCACTTTTTGAACAGCAAAATACATTTTGGCATAAATTTATGACGAAATTTGATTTTTAAAATTTTTTGATTGGATATGTTTTATAGCAAAAAGTCAAAAATATTGTTCTTTTTTTCAAAATCGTACGTCTTTTTTTGTTTATAGCACAAAAAATAAGAACTGCAGAGGTGATCAAATACCACTGGAAAAAAAGCTCTATTTGTGGGGAAAAAATTACATAAATTTAATTTATGTACAGCATTGCATGACCACGCAATTGTCAGTTAAAATAACGAAGTGCTGTATCGCAAAAAATGGCCTGGTTAGGGGGGGGGGGGGGGGAAGGTAAATCCTCTGGAGAGCAAGTGGTTAAAGTGTTACTAAAAACAGTAAAATCCATCTGTATATGCAGTAAAACATGCTTGTTGTACTCATTGTGGAACCTAAGGGCTTAATCATCTGCATTGTGTAAAAAAGATGTTTGATCCTGACTTCTCTGATCCTCCCCTTCTTCCAGCATTTTTCTCTTATCTCCTAATAAGACATATCGTGTGGAGACACTCTGCACATGCTCAGTTTGGTGTGTATTGTTAGGGGTTTTTTTTTTTCTTTTCTTCTTAGGACAGTGCATTTGATCAGCACAGGCCAATCCGCACTGTTCAGACAGGTCAGGGGTTCTGCACCCTCCTAGAGCAGAAAGAAAACTCCACCTACAAGCTTTTCTTAAAAGCCAAGAAAGCTCCCTTTGCAGTTGTCTGGATTGGCCAACCCTCAACACTACCTTGGTGGCCATATGTGGGACCAGCCTAAAATGCAACCTTGGGCTCTGCTTTGGTTGTCTGAAGGGGTTCAGTTTGCTGACATAACTCATTAAGCCTAATGAAACCAATTGACTTAACCGTTTACCAAAACAGTTACATGCAAGACCTAAATGATAACTGTCAGTTACTTGTGCTCCCAACCCAACTGTCAAGCCATCAAATGGTGTCATAACAAAGTACATCCAGCTGCGATCACAACAGGTGATCACTGGCTGTGCAAACTGTCATTGCAATGTATAGGCATGGCCTTTGCTATTTGCACACAGCTATCAATCCCAGAAGAAGGAATCAGTAGATTCCTGCCACTGGGATTGACAGCATGGCAAAATGCTCGTGCCCGGTGCCTTTCACCTTCCCTGCACATTTTGTACTACAACCCGTTTTGTATAGTAATTAGCCCTCTCCTGACCAGTTATTTCTTCCCCTTCCCCAAGCACATTGCTGACTAAATTCCCTATTGAGGAGGCGTTTGTTAAGAAGTGGATCCCTCCCGTGGTAAAACCACCCATTTCTTGTCTTAACAAAACCCTGACTGTTCATGTTGAGGACATTCCGGTATTTTAAGACCCAGTCGATAAAAGGCTGGAAATCTTTTGCAAGCCAAGCCCCCTTTTCCCTAACAACCACTGTCCGTTGCTGTCATTACCATTTGCCAGACCTTGGAGGTTTGAACCAAGGATATATAAGACATCTGCAATGATCATAACTGATCCTCTGGTTTTGCCAAATTACAACTTATGCCTATTGCCCTACTAGAAATTGTTGATATGGTACACCTCATTCATATCCATATTGAGTCACCTCTCTGTATATTTGCAGAGGGCTCAAAATGCTTAATGCGTATTTCATTTGATGCAGAATTACTCTTTGGTACCTCCCTGAGCACTTTTATCAAAGATTTCACAAAGAAAGGTACCCCATAAAAAAAAGAAGCTAGAACTCAATTTGGAATACCCTCTTCTTATGGCAGTAAGAAGAGTTCATTTTGCTTGTTCTAGGTCTCTGACTCCTTTTGTCATTTCTTAGGGTAAGGTTTATCTCTCACTCAACAGTCTCTATATGGCTTGTAAAAGAAGAAAGATTTATATGATCTGAAGAGAAAACAGAGTATATATCAATAAAGTGTATTTTTTCAACCAAAAAAAATCTATATGTAGTTGTGCAGCACACCATTCAAGTCTACCAGCTTAAGTATAAGGTTTCACCTTTTCCTGTCAAGGCACAATCTACTAAATCAGGGATTTTCTCGAGTTCATTCATCTGTTTGTCAGGTTTGTAAAGCTGCCACCCGGTCCTTTGTTCACACCTGGTTACTTTACTTGTGCTCTATGTGGGTTGTGTTAAAAAAGAATCCTGTTAGATGTATCTTTGATGCACTTTCATCAAAGCACACCTAAAGCACACTGCACAAATGTGAACCCAGCCTAGGTTTTATTAGGTGGATGTTCAGGCCTCAGCTGATGTTACTGTGTTGCTTTTGGAAATTCTGTACTTCTCAGAATTCCTTCTGACTGTTCAAAATTAAGAAAACAAGATTTTTGACTTAGCATAAATTCCTTTTCTTGTTGTTCATAAAAAAATCCCTTCACGACTGCCTAACACACATGCGCAGGGCTGGGAACATGGGCTTTAAACCTGGATGCCACATACACTATATTGCCAAAAGTATTGGGAAGCCTGTCTTTACACGCATATGAACTTTAATGGCATCCCAGTCTTAGTCCATAGGCTTCAATATTGAGTTGGCCCACCCTTTGCAGCTATAACAGCTTCAACTCTTCTGGGAAGGCTGTCCACAAGGTTTAGGAGTGTGTCTATGGGAATGCTTGACCATTCTTCCAGAAGCACATTTGTGAGGTCAGGCACTGATGTCGGACCAAAAGCCCTGGCTCACAGTCTGCTCTAATTCATCCCAAAGCTGTTCTATCAGGTTGAGGTCAGGATAGTCAAGTTTCTCCACCCCAGACTTGCTCATCTATGTCTTTATGGACCTTGCTTTGTGCACTGGTGGGCAGTCATTTTGGGGCAGGAAGGGGCCATCCCCAAACTAATCCCACAAAGTTGGGAGCATGAAATTGTCCAAAATGTCTTGATGTGCTGACACCTTAAGAGTTTCCTTCACTGGAACTAAAGGGCCAATCCCAACCCCTGAAAAACAATCCCACACCACAATCCCCCCTCCTTCAAACTATACACTTGACACAATGCAGTCAGACAAGTACTGTTCTCCTGGCAACTGCCAAATCCAGACCTGTCCTTCAAATTGCCAGACAGAAAAGCGTGATTTATCACTCCAGAAAACAAGTCTCCCCTGCTCTAGAGTCCAGTGGTGGCGTGCGTTACATAACTGCATCTGACGCTTTGCATTGCATTTGGTGATGTAAGGCTTGGATGCAGCTGCTCGGCCATGGAAACCCATTCCATTAAGCTCTCTATACACTGTTGTTGTGCCAATCTGAAGGCCACACAAACTTTTCAGGTCTTTAGCTATTGACTCTGCAGACAGTTGGCGACTTCTACACACTGTGCACTTCAGCATGCGCTTACCCCGCTCTGTCATTTTACGTAGTCTACCACTTTGTGGCTGAGTTGCTGTTGTTCCCAGTTGCTTCCACTTTGTTAAAAGACCACTAGCTGACCATGGAATATTGAGTAGCAAGGAAATTTCACGGATGGACTTATTGCACAGGTGGCAACCTATCACAGTACCAAGCTTGAATCCACTGAGAGCGACCTATTCTTTCACAAATGTTTGTAGGAGCAGTCTGCATGCCTAGGTGCTTGATTTTATACACCTGTGGCCATGGAGGTGATTGGAACACCTGAATCCAATGATTTGGAGGGGTGTCCCCAATACTTTGGCAATATAGTGTGTATGTGTTCTTGTGTTTGTACTGGCGTGCTCCCAGCAGAGAGACTGGGCTGTCGGCAACAGCCCTGGGTCTCTACTAAGGATTGGAACTGGATCCTTATCAAATGGTCACCGTGATAGCCTCTGATAGGCTCTCACAGTGATCATTCAATATGTATACCTTAGATTGTACGCCCCCTGAGGGTTAGGGATTGATGTGAATGTACAATATATACGTAAAGTGCTGCGTAAATTGACAGCGCTATATACAGTCAGGTCCATAAATATTGGGACATCAACACAATTCTAACATTTTTGGCTCTATACACCACCACAATGGATTTGAAATTAAACAAACAAGATGTGCTTTATCTGCAGACTGTCAGCTTTAATTTGAGGGTATTTACATCCAAATCAGGTGAATGGTGTAGGAATTACAACAGTTTGCATATGTGCCTCCCACTTGGTAAGTGACATTAAAGCTTCAGGCTTTTTTTTCCCCTTAAAATAAACCAACATGTTATACTTACTGTACCTTCTCTGTGCAAGGGTTTTGCAGTGAGCAGCCCTGATACTCTTCTTTGGTCCCCTGCTTGTGTTCCTGGCTACTCTCTCCTCCGAGTGCCCACCCTAGGAAGCCACTTCCTAGGGTGGTCGCTCGTGTGGGCTTGCTTCTGAGGCAAGCTGCTTGTGTCTATTTAGACACACATACCGGCTTGGCTCTGCTCTTCGCTGTCTTCTCACTGGTTTTGACTGACAGCAGCAGGAGCCAATGGCTCCCACTGCTCTCAGCCAAGCCTGTGAGTGCTGGAAGGAGAGGAGCAGCTACAAACATGTACAGTGCTGGACTGAGATCAGGCTCAGGGGAGTATTTAGGGGGGACTGTGGGAGAAGCTTCTCTTAAAAGTGTTTTTTTTTTTTTTTTTTAACCTTAATGCAGAGAATGCATTAAGGTAAAAAAAAAAATATTTTACCTTTACAACCACTTTCTGTCATTTTAAATTATAGCAATATATCCTGATGTGAACATAAATGTAAAAAAAAAAAAGGAGGTATACATTTTCAGGTTAACATGTAATTTCCTCTTTTACACCCAGTTCCGTGGATGTATCATGGAGACAGTATGTGGTAGACCTATCACTGACGATTCTACACTGTCTACCACCAGTCAAAAAACTGAAGTTTCTACAGTATCCCACAGCCAGGTCAGCCCATCTGCCAGCTAGCAAACTTTTGTAACAAAATCCTAAAACAAATGGTTGCTTTTATGTTTCATTGTAACTTTTTAAGTGGTTTCACAGTAAAAGCATTCTCAGTTGTATCTTCTAAAATGTGTCTAATGATATTAATATAAAACAGGAAATGTTTGTGTTATTATATGCAGAAACATATTCTTTACAAAAAAAAAAAAGGAAGATTAAAAAGAAACTACAGAAATATATTCATACAGGTATTTAAATACTTCCTGTGACATGTTACATTCTTGGTGTCTATTGATGCACACAAGAGTTTTCAGATGGTGTTGGGTTGTGCTACTGTCTATATGATTTGACACTGGCAAACAAAAAGATTGTTGGCCAGCCCAAGATAACTTTTTCTACTCGCAGTGTGCCTCAGTTTTGTGGCAAAGCAGTACCATAAACAGAGGGGTATGGTCTGTGTCCTTCAATCAAATCCTAGAAAATAATTTTACAGTGAGTACAAAAATTATTTTATTTTTGTTAAATTAGAGACACCAGGAATTCAAATACTGTTGGCACAGTCAAAAGCAGTCCAACTGAGGGCTGGGCAAAATGGCAACCCCTAACACAGACCCAGCGAGAGAATTGGGGACAATCTGCAGCCCAGTAGCCACCTGAAGATCCAGGGCATGAATATGAACTGGATCATGCTTAGTCCCTTACCAATTATGAGAACTTCCCAAGACCTAAGGGAGGGCACCAAGAAATAATCCGATGCTCAAGACAGAAGGGGTCACCACCAGAGTGAAATGCCTCTACAAGGAACCAAACAACAAACCTAAATAAGATCAAAGAACCAAAAACTGTATTTAAAGAGGTTGCCTGAAAGCTAAATTGTCTATGGACCTGTGAGGGTTCACAATCAGCCCCCATTTGTAGAAGGCTTTTCAGATGGTTTAGTTGGACTCTAAAGTCGCATCATATGGGCTGTCTGAGTCAGGTTGGGTGCAACTACTGCAAAAGTATATGAAGGAAAAGAATGTGACTCAGCTGACCTCCTACATTGAGGCAAGAAGCGCTGGCATCCTGTGAAATCTTTAATAATGGTATCAAATGTAGGACTAGAGACAATATCCCTCAAAAATCAAGAGAGTCCATTGTTCTTTAGATATGGCATCAGTGTCCCAGCATTGTTATCAAAAGCTCTTCACGTTTTTTGTAGAGACATCAGTCTCACGCAGGATAGAAGTTTAAATATTTGTAAGAAGTCATCACAACTGAAGTGTAAAGCTGCAGGCATTTGTTTTACATGCTCCATTAAAAAAAAAAAAAAAAATAGGAGGTCTACGCTGGAGAGATCTTATTTGAGGGATCCAACCCATTCTACCACAGTATGACAGATGAAGCTGACAGCCAATACAGGAAAGAGGGAAGAACATGCCAACACAAACTGGGATTTAGCTTAGGTTCACACTTTGGATCGCATTTTAATCTCACAGAAGCCGCATCGTAATCCTGTGTGATTCAAATGCATCTCTGTGCAGTGCAATTTGAGCACATTCATTTTGCATCTGCACCAAAAAAGTGCCTGTAACATTTTGGGGAATGCACTGGAACCGGATTGTATGGTCGTTAAGTGCCATGTAATCCAGTTCAGTTAATTGCACTGCATTTGCGATCTGCTTTTGGGGTGTTAATTTTGAATGGACGCCCCGCAGCAGATCGCAAAACACAGTGTGAACCAGTTAAGGAGGGATTCTAACTGCCTGTCAGTAAAATCTTTGCCAGTTCACACTATAGAAACACAGTCCAGATGCGTTCCGGATACATTTTTGACACACATTCCGGTGTGTTTTTGATGCATTCCAGTTAATTTTTCCCCCTTTCTTCAATTTAAATAGGGACATGTGCGTTCCAGTACAGTTCTGTGCAGAAAAAATGCAGCATGTTCTACTTTTGTTTCTGAATCCGGAATGCACTGGAATTGCAAGCACTGATGTGAACTATGACATTAACAACCATATAATCTACTGTGTGTTTTGGATGCAGAAAAAAAAAGCAACTGAAACGCATGTAGTGTGAACTGGCCTCAAGGACCAGTTCACACTATAGAAACACAGTTCAGATGCGTTTTAGATGTGTTTCCGCATGCATGTTTTTGACGTGTTCCAGTGCGTTTTTGATGCGTTCCAGTGCTTTTTGTTTATGCATTCCAGTTAATCTTTTCCCTTCTTTTTCTTCAGTGTAAATAGACATGTGTTCAAGTGCATTTTTGGTGTGTTTTACCACGTTCCAGTACAGTTTTGTGGAGAAAAAAATGCAACCTGTTCTACTTTTTTTTTTTTTCCTGCAAACACACTGGAACTGCAAGCACTGATGTGAACTAAGACATTGACAATCATATAACCTACTTTCTGTGCATTTTGGATGCAGGAAAAAAGCAACTGAAATGCATGTAGTGTGAATTGGCCCTGAAGCAGAACGAATCCCATGTACCTAACAGTTTACCAAAACAGTTACACTCAAGGCATACCATGAATGATAACTGTCACAGCTGCTTGTGCTCCCAACAAAACTGTTAAGCCATTAAATGGATAGTGTGATAACTGATCACATTTAGTTAGGCGAGTCAGTGGTAGAACCAGTAAATATTAACCCTTGTTTGATAAAGTCCCTGTGTTCTAACACATCTTCTGGTAGAGCAAAAGGACCCTTCAAGGTTCTTACAGACTGTAGAAAGGAATAGCAGGTGCAGGTAAAAGGTCTTTGCAGCTGTAGAAATTCTGAAAGACCCAAACCTGGAGATGGCAGGCTGATCTTTCAAATGAAAGGTAGTATTGCACTGGATCAATAAGGTGTGCGCTTTGTAATTCTGAGGTAAAGGTAGGATATTGCAGTGCCTCAAAAAAAAGGACTGGACTTTGAGTCACGAGATGATCAGTGACTGGTGATAAATAAAAAAAAAAAACCACACCCCCCCGCCAAAAAAAAAAAAACACCTTCCTGAGCATCGAAACCAATGTGTAAATTAATAAATCTGTGAAACGAGATCAATAGGAATTAAGAAAAGTAGCTGAGCCACTTCATTTATTTAGCCACGAATATATTTAATGGCGCAGCCATTTTTACTTACTATTGACTTTGTTTCAGATTTATTAATTTACACATTGGCTTTGAAGCTCAGGAGGGTGTTTATTAGTTTATTTTTGGGGCCACTTTTGGGGAATTGTATTGATGTGGGAACATATTTAGGTGCTTGCAGCAGCTTATCATTAATTTGTGACAGCAAATGAGTAATATATCCTTACTGACAGTGCCTGGTGGCCCAGCCTGTTCACAGAAAGACTGGGGTCAGTATCCATGAGGATTGGGGTGATTGTGTCCACAAAAAGTCTTGAGTGGCTGCAGTAGAAGCCCCTAATGACTGGGTTATGGGACTGGGCCTCACCCAATGGAGTTGAAGGGACTCAGATGATGTAAGCCTCATAACTACGCAGTAGCTGGATTCCATATTACAGACATAGGAATACCTAGCAGACACTCCTGGAGAGCATGGGATCTGGTCACCCGTAGCAGCAGGGTTGCCCCTCTGTGCAAGCATGTTGTGACTGTGTGGTGATGATGTAACTAGGTCCAAAGTACAAAGGCTCAGTTACTCACAAACTCAGACAACTAGTGGCCGATGAGGGTCAGATGGCTGGAGGTGTCCAAGTCACTGTAGCAGGAAATGGAAACAGACCGGAAATAGGTGTTCATATATGCTATATTCCATCCAATCGTTGGCATCAGCACTCAGCTCCTTTTAGCATGTTCCCTTTACACAGCAATTCAAAAGTAACAGGAAATTTGAAAGGCACCCAGCTATGCACATAACGAGGTAGTTCACAGTGTACAGCCAAATTGGCCTACTCAACAGTGAGACTTAAGAGTCAAGGCAAGAGCTGAGGCTATGTTATACCACTGCACTTGGAATGTGCTCTGCAGTTAATTTTCAGCAGTATGTGATACCTGTAAAGCACAACAAGTGGAAACCAGTGCCTGAAGGTCAGGCTAGTTCCTCAATGTCCAGTCCAGCATTGTAAAGTCAAGATGAGGAAAGACTGATCCAGACAGTTGCCAACTAGAGAGCACAAGCAGTGAGAAATATTGATTAAAGTCAGAGTAAACAATTCTGAAAATCAAATCAAGGGGAAAAAAAAAAAGGACTAGCGAAAATGGTTAGACTTTTCTCACCAGAGCTGAAGAGAAGACATCCCTCCTTCTAAGACACTATCAAAAAACTGAGCCATACTCAGAGCAGAAGGGGTTATCCTGGGATGGCCTACATTTAATTTTTTGCCAGTATTCAATCCTCCTGTAGGTGGTACATAACCCTGTAGTATTTGAATCCTGTGTCCCTCAATAGAAGAGAAAGTTCTTTGTTCTTAAAAGACCAGGTGATAAAGGCTTGTGTACTGCAGTAAAATCACATAATGGAACTACATTAACTCTTAAATTTGGGTACAAGTCATCTCAACAGATAAATGAAGTTATTCTATAAATGGAATCCTAAACAGAACCTGTTATCACTGGCAAGTTGTTTTAAAAAGGTACGGAATATACTTTCTTTCCAAACAGAGAGTCGCTGACCTGGAACAAGCAAGCACCAAACAGTTTCAGGTGTAGTTTTAGAAAAGCTGAAAATAGTTAACGTAGGCACTACAAAATGCAAGCACGTTTAAGCTCACCTGAAATCACAGAATATTGTCTGTACATCTTATACAGCCTAAAATAGATTTCTATAAAATATCTATTGTGCAGGTGTCTACCAATAGTACAAAAACAGTACTTTTTCACATGAACTATATAATGTGAAGTAGAGGACTATACACATCAATGTTGTGGAAAGAAGCTTGGTAGTGTAGCAGTAAATACACAGCACTTTTTAAAATTATTTCATGACGAGTACCCAGAAGAGATCTGCTTAAGGTTTTTTTTTTGTTTTTTTTTTTTGCAGGCAGTGCTTTTGTTTGCAGTCCTTACTTAAGATTAGCAAAGAGTGCCAGCCCATTAATGGCATCCCAGTCTTAGTCTGTACGGTTCAATATTGAGTTGGCCCGCCCTTTGCAGTTATAACAGCTTCAACTCTTCTGGGAAGGCTGTCCACAAGGTTTAGGAGTGTGTGTGTGGAAATGTTTGACCATTCTTCCAGGAGCAAATTTGTGAGGTCAGGCAATGATGTCGAACGAGAAGGCCTGGCTCACAGTCTGCGCTCTAATTCATCCCAAAGGTGTTCTATCTGGTTGAGGTCAGGACTCTGTGCAGGTCAGTCAAGTTCCTCCAACCCAAACTTACTCATACACATCTTTATGGACCTTGCTTTGTGCACTGGTGCGGTCATGTTTTAACAGGAAGGGGCCATCCCCAAACTGTTCCCACAACTTGGGAGCATGAAATTGTCCAAAATGTCTTGGTATACTGATGCCTTAAGTGTTCCCTTCACTGGAGCTAAGGGGCCAAGCCCAACCCCTGCAAAACAACCCCACACCATAATCCCCCCTCCACCAAACTTTACACAATGCAGTGAGGCAAGTACCGTTCTCCTGGCAACCGCCAATCCCAGACACATCCATCAGATTGCCAGAGAAGCATGATTAGCCACTCTAGAGATCACATCTCTACTGCTCTAGAGCCCAGGGGCAGCACGCTTTACACTACTGCATCCAAAGTGTTGCATTGCACTTGGTGATGTAAGGCTTAGTTGCAGCTGCTCGGCCATGAAAACCCATTCCATGAAGCTCTCTATGCACTGTTGTTGTGCTAATCTGAAGGTCACAAACTTTGGAGGTCTTTAGCTATTGACTTTGCAGACAGTTGGCGATTTCTGCAGTGTGCACTTCAGCATGGGCTGACCCCGCTCTGTCATTTTATGTGGCCTACCACTTCGTGGCTGAGTTGCAGTTGTTCCCAGTAGCTTTCACTTTGTTATACCGCTAACAGTTGACCGTTGAATATTTAGTAGTGAGGAAATTTCACGGATGGACTTATTGCACAGGTGGCAACCTATCATGGTACCACACTTGAATTCACTGAGCTCGTGAGAGTGGCCCATTCTTTCAGAAATGTTTGCAGAAGCAGTCTGCATGCCTAGGTGCTTGCTTTTATACCCCTGTGGCCATGGAGGTGATTGGAACACCAGAATCCAATGATTTGGAGGGGTGTCCCAATACTTTTGGCAATTTAGCGTATCTATGGAAAATATTTTGACTGCATCTCTATCTGCCATATAGAAGACTTACCTTGGAGGTCTACTAAAGTGGTTGCAGCACAAACTCAATTTACAGCATAGCATATAAAAAAAAAATACAAACCAATATCTGAAATCGCTTTAATTGCAGGTCTTTGTACTAATCAGATGTGTTTTAGCACCCATGACAGTATGAAGTCAAAGTTGAATTGTGATAAACTACAAAAGTGAATGGTTGTTATACAGACTCCTAACAAAAAGTACACCAACTCATCTTTAGCACAAATGTAAAGCATAAAGTGGTGAGAAAATCATGCCTAACACAAAAGAGACAAGGCTCTTTCCTGTGCACATCTGAATGCATATTTAAAACCAACATACTGTGCTTAGTGTATTTTATTTTATCATGTGTTCATGTGTGAACTGAGTGGTAATACTATAAATTTACAAGATGTTTTCCTTTAGAAAATACACAATAGGTAAACATGTAGAGATGGCCAAATAAATGTAGACTTATATAATGTTCTGCTGGCTTCTTGAGTGGATTAAGGATGTTGACAAAAAACAAAAAAGTTTATAAATAGAAGTGCCAGCTGTAAAAAGGGCATTTCATACCCATCTATTCTACCTTGTTCACCTCTGCAGCAAGACGTTTATGTAGATGAGTGTTAAATATAAAAACAATATTCATACCACGTTATAAAAAGCATTTATAAAGTCTGGAAAAAGATGAAAGCTTTGATTTGGGCTGTTTTGTATAGTTAAAAACCATATCAGAACATGTTAAATTACTGTTTGCTTTCAATTATCGCAAGTCATAATATAAATGAATGTGATCAATAAAACAAAACAGCTGATTCTAGAGAAGATTTAACTTTCCTCAGAAATAACACTGGCATCAGCTGAGAGAACTACCTAGTCTGTATAATATTCATCAAAAATGCATACAAAATTTGGAGAGAAAAACTAAAATGACTGTTTATCCTGTTCATTCACTGGACTCATTCACCATTTAACCAATTATTTGCCATAGTCGTTATAAAATCAGTAATATGCACTAGGTTAAAAAGGAATCATTTATGAAATGAACAAGAGGACCAATACTGAATTAGTTACAGTACTGTAACCATTATTGTACGTTACAGGCAATTCAATAACATTAAATATAAAAAATAGGCAGCAAATTGACCTTTAACCGACTTTTTAAAACTCAGAAGAATTTGTTCTTTGATTTTTTTATGCAATTTTACCAAAGTTGTATTCAGCCCTATGCAATGGGACCCCAGGACATACTGTCTGTTATCTATACAGTTAGATAAAATTAGGACAGTAGCTCTCAGCTCGTCTTCCTAACAGTGCACATTTTCATTCCTCTCTACAGACTCAGAGGTGCAACACTTAGTGTGAACCTTTCACAGTATGCCACTTAATGGAGGTACACCCTTACCTGCTAAAAGGGAAAACATGCACTGTTGGTGGGACTCTAGGACAAGGATTAAGAATGGCTAGATTAGAGCCACAGGACAATAGTCAGTAATGTGGAATGATTCCAAGTCTTTAAAACACTGCAAACATATCCCAGGATAAAAATAAAAGTGAAAAAAAAATGGAGAATAGTGTTGTTGCCATTATGAGGCATATTCATTTACAAAGTCTATGTGGTCTCCAAAGAGTAATCAGAGTTAGGTTTGCGTCTTCTTCTCTCCCAAGTTTCAAAAGTCAGTTTGCAATAAATTACTTTTGTTCTTTGTATTCTGGATGCATCCTCCAAAGCCCATGAAAGGGAAAGGAGTCCCCTTTGCTCAGGAGTGAGCGCTGAGTCACTGCTCTTCTTCAGAACTCATCATGTCTCACCAATGCCTCCCCGAAGTCTGTAGCTTGACTGCCCACAAATAAGTCATATTTATCAACAATTTCTTCTCGTGTCAGCTTGCCATCCTGAGAAGAGAATACATATCCTTAGTGGAATTCATCAGAGTGTATCCTACAGTGAATCAAACTTTTTCATTAAAACAAATGACAGTTTGGTGTTAAAGCCCACCTCCGTGCTGCCACATATACATGTATAGCTGACATTATAGGGTAAATACTACTTCATCTGGGAGCCATGAAATCCCAAGAACTGCAGATTGCAGATCCAATGCCTCTACTTCTATAAATGAGGAACTCTGTAAAAAACAAAAGTTATTTTTTTGGGAACTAACAAAGTCTAGCTCCATTCCATATGAGATTCCAGTTCACCCTTCTGTAAGTAAATACAGATTAATTTTCTCAGCATTTACCTTGTTTTGGTCAGATTCATAAACAAGATGGCGAGCTTCAGCCTCAGCATGGTCATAGTCAGAGGGTAAGATCCAATCCTTGGTCTCCTCTTTGTCCATTTTGCCATCACGATTCTTATCTCTGAACTCAACAAACTGTTCTCTCTCAGTCTTCACCCACTCTGGCTCATCAGCATCACCATCGTGATTGTACATATCACCTGGATAGAAAAGGAATAAATAAAGTCAACTCCCATGACAACTTCTTCACACAGAAACCCAAGATAATTTTTTTAATATATTAAACCTTGCAGTTAAAAATACTATTGATATTTGATGTTTAACCCTTATTTAACCCTGTAATGCATAACGCAGCAGACAGCTATTCAAAAGCTGTTTTCTTGTATATGCATGGGTTCTGAATAGCTGCATATCATCCATTAAACTGGACCTGCCACCCACTGGAAAGCTGTTGTAAGTGCAACAAAATATTTCTCAATAGGAGATCCTTGGAAGTAAAATAAATATGGTAACAAACACACACCTAAAGAAACATTGTAATTTAATTTTACTAGTATTGATTTTATCTTGGGCAGAAATCACAGCTAACCATCTGTCCACTAAACTGGACATCACGCATCACTGGTTACATTTCAGCTACAATTTATACTATTACTGGGACTTTGTTTTTATGGATATTAATACAACTGCAGTAACTTTATGGCTGTAAATCAATTTATTTATGCTATTAGAATGTAATTTGCAACAAAATTTTGTGCAGGTAAGTTCCATTATGTAAGGCCTCACTGGATGTTTTGCTAGCTCTCTTAGGCGTCTTTCCTCCTCCTCCAGCAGTATTGTCTTAAAAAACACTTGCACCTAAACACGATACGTTTTACAAGTGTCATCAAGTGTTTGGATGTTAGTTCAATTGGTCAAAATAATAATTTATTCTTGCCATTGAAATGAATTGACTTAACAAAAGTGCTAAATGTGCCTAGCATTACCATACGTTTATGCGCATTTACACATATCAAAAGCTTTTTTCCTGCCAAAACATGGCTGCTTCTGGATGTGCTGGCAGTGGATTTTCTTTTCCCCTCTAAACACTTGTGTGCATAAACGGCTAAAAAAAAAAAAAAAAAAAAGCCAGAAGCCCCTAGGAGCAACGTTAAACATCCAGAGTGCGCGAGGCCTAAAAGTCAATGTATTTTTATTTATAGAGCGTGATAGGAAGGCCTATAGGATAGTGGAGCAAAATACCTTCTAAATTGTTTCTTCAGTTAAAACCTCAAAAAGGCATGCAGTCCACTTAGGTGGACATGTGAAGAACACCTTGGAAAATTAATGTAAAAAAAAAAAGTTATAATTTTTTCTCTTTTTATGCCCAAAGAGTACTAAAAACACCAAGGAAAAAATTAGATTTTTTTCTACATACTTACCTGTAAAATCAATTTTTTTGGAGTACACAACAGGACACAGAGCAGGCTATTCATGACTATGTGGGTTATAGGCCACCTATAGGTGGATAAACACTGGCTGACCAGAGAGGAGGCCCTTCCCTATAGAGGGAAGTACCTCAGTTTTTATAGCAAGCAAGGACATTCCAGAAAGAGGGGTGGGACCTCTGTGTCCCGTGATGTACTCCAAGAAATTTATTTTACAGGCATTTATGTAGAAAAAAAGAAATCCAAATTTTCTTCATCGTACATCATGGGAGAAAGAGCAGGCTATTCATGACTATGTCACATGTCCCAAAGCAATAAGAAATTTGAGGGGAGGGCGACACCATGATAGCCACTGTCAATCCCTCAGGACCTACTCAGCCGTCTGTAAAACACTGCAGCCAAAGGCAGAATCTTCTGTGGCTTGGACATCCACCTGGTAGAACCTTGTGAATGTGTGAACTGTGTAGTGGCCTTGCAAACCTGAGCAACGGACGCCCCCACACTCCACTGGAGGAGTGTGCCTTGACCCGAAAGGATGGGACTTTACCTTTCAAACCATAGGCTTGAATGATCAATTTGTGGATCCAATGAGAAATGGTCACCTTGGATGGTGCCTGTCCCCCTCAGGCAGCACAAAGAGCATCTGACCTCCTGACCTGTGCTGTCGCCTTCAAGAAGACCCTTACAGCACAAACCACATCCAAGGTATGCAGAGATCTTTCTCTTGCAGACTGAGCCTAGGAAAGAATGAAGGTAGAACTATGTCCTGATTGAGAGGAGACGAAAACCAGAAACCACCTTTGGTAAAAAGCACGGATGAGGTTGCAACTTTATGATGCAAAACCAGAAATGGTTCTCTGCAAGATAGAGCTGCTAGCTCTGACACCCTTCTTGTAGAAGCGATTGCCACTAGAAACAAAACCTTAGGAGTCAACAGGACCAGTGGAATCTCTCCAATAGCTTAAAACGGTGGCTTTTGCAAAACCTCCAAATCCAAGTTTAGGTCCCAAGGACACAAAGGAAACCTGACAGGAGCTGCCAAGCGCATCACTTCTTGAAAAAAAAGTGCAAACCAAAGAGTGAGATGCAATGGGCATCTGGAAAAAAAAAAAAAAAAAAAAAAAAGATAATGCTAAATCCTGGCTCTTAATTGCACCAACAGCCAAATTCTTCTGCAACCCTTTTTGAAGAAATGACAGAATCCAATCACATACTTTCGTGGGTGTCATTTGTGAACCTCACACCAGGCAATATAAGCCTTCTGGGTCCTGTTATAAAATGCTTCTAGAAACTTCCTTGTTAGTACACAAAATGAAGAGGATGACAGAATCTGGCACTCCCCTATCCTTCAGGATCTGGGTTTCAATACCCACGCTATCAAATGTAGCGACCATAAAGCTGGGTACAACATAGGTCCTTGAGACAACAGGTCTGGCCGATATAGCAGGGCCCACAGCCCATCTAATGCTATCTTCACTATGTCCGCGAATCAGGCCCTCCTGGGCCAGGCCGGAGCAATCAGTATCACCGGTATAGACTCCTCCTGAATCCAGAGATGCAGGAGTAGCTTGATCAGAGGAAAAGCATAAATCCGTGAGAATTGGTTCCAAGTAATCACTAAGGCGTCTACCCCTGCCGGTCCTGTACTCTGGACACAAGACGACCGACCCTGTTGAACCTGGATGCCAATAGATCTACATCCGGGCAACCCCATTGCTGGCAGATTTCCTTGAAAACATCGGGATGCAAAGCCTATTCCCCTGGAATCAACTGCCGGAGACTTAGATAATCTGCCTGCCAATTTTCCACACCTGGAATGAACACTGCTGACAGACTTGAGACATCTCTCTCTGCCCAGGTCAGAAAGTAGTTCAGGACCTTCGGCTAGGTTTCTCAGGACCTGGCAATAGTACATTAGTACCCTTTCCTGCTGCACCTCCCCCACTCCGCTTTCTGGAAGACATTACTTCAGACAGCGCAAACCTGTGTACCTCCACTAGTAAACACAGATCTCAAGACACAGCTATGCAAGTAATGTACTGAAGTAAAAACACTCAATGCAAATGCTGCCATATGAGCCACCTAGGGCGGCTTCTGACTGGTCCACGCTTCCCCCTTAGGGGGGAGTACTCATGTGCCCATATTGAACAGCACGTTCTGTGTCCTGGCTACAGCAGATTCCTCACCAGCAGCAGCCCACGTGTGTCCTGGCCTCCAGATAAACAAAATATGACCAACTTCTGTTTCTGGCTGCACTCTCTTTAGTGGCCACAAACAAAAAGCACATCTCAGGAACAACAGGGAGCACTCCCAATGGTAGAAACTCACAGTCACAACACATTTCCTTTTCCCTCCAAATTTGAGGATTTGTTTCCTCACAGAGAGCAAAAAGGAGATATCTTACCAGTCCCGCCACAGATCCCAGACTTCTGTCTGACACCCAGCCTTTACCCATCACAGCAGGCATTGTCAGAGACCTTCAAGTACTCAGTCCCCTGAGGGGCTACTGCCTTGGACCCGCACAGCACCCGGCTGGAAGTGCCTTGGTCAGATTTAAAACTTCACAGGGTTCCATCTGTGCGGGGTCCAACGCCAAAAGGCTACATTACAGGAAAAACCTCAAGGATTCTTCTCCTTATCCAGTGAGGCTCAGGTACCATCCATCTTTGCTCATAGCCTTCCGAATAGATCAGATTAAAGTCCCAGATTCTCTAATGGAACTGTTCTGGACTTTCAAGTATGCTCCAAGAGCACAGCAACACTTTCAGTGACCATCCACCTTACAGACACTGGCAGAAAAAAAAAAAACTGGAGGTACTACCTGTATAGGAGGGGTATATAGGGGAGGAACTCCTTTCTGATTAGTCAGCCAGTGCCCATTCACCTATAGGTGGCCTATAACCCTCAGTCATAAATAGCCTGCTCTGTGTCCCTTGATGTACGATAAAGACAAATCCTGACTGGCTTTCATAATTCATACATGAAAGGGTTAAAATGCCAACAAACAATGGTCCGTTTTATGATTATATTCATTCTATTAACTATATAGGACTAACCTATGTACTCTTCCAAATCAATTACTCCATCTGCATTTTTATCAATATCTTCCATTGTTTCCTGTGAATTGAGATAAAGCAAGAGATGTAAACTAAATGTTTTCAACTAACCATCTTAAGCAACATGGTGACTACATAAGTGGTTGACAGCATAACGCAATCTTATATTCTCTTCTAATTAGCCCACATACTCACAAGTACAACAATATCTTTCATATAATCATACTCTTCAGGGTGGAGGAATGCTGTAAATTCATCTTTAGTGGCAATCAGATCGCCATCCTTGTCAGCCATTTTAAAACGTCGCTCATCCCTCACCATCATCTGTTTGTAATTAAAACTGTTGTCAGGGTCAGGATCATCTAAAACATGAAATAGCAAGATCAAGCAATGCAATGATAAAATGAGCTACTCATTGACTTTATAAATCACCAGATTTCAACAGCAACATAAATAACAGTCAATACTTTCTGTGTATATAATCAAGACCAAAAAAAAAAGAAAAAAAAAAAAAAAGGGAAGTAGTATCTATAACCACCAGAAAAACAGCAGCTACATAAAGACCTACAGTGGAACAACAAATACAGCTCTCCTTACAAGCTAAAACACGTTTTAGGCGTCACTGAAAATAATGGCACTTGAACCTGCATTTTGCAATCACAGTGATTCTGCTGTGATCTCAAAATGCCCAGGTGTGAATGGAGGTGCCCTAGTTCACACTTATGCGATTCTGGATTAGTTTTGAAACTTGCGGATATGCATGACAGGCTAGATATTATGTGTTCCTATTGAGGTGGCTCACACAGATGTGATCCACATGCTATGTATTTTGTAATAGCCATTATGAAAAAGGGGCCTGTACAAGTTCGTAGTGGTGCGTTCCTGACTTGCAAGTGAGAGTAGAGTGGAATGTGGAGGTAAGTGTTCACACATAGGATTGCTACCGACCGTTTTTCCATTGAAGTCTATAAGGTGCAATCTCCCATTGAAGTCAATGGGAGGCGGTGTGTGAACCCAGGCGCCAGTACGCAATTTCTAGTCGCCATGGTGACCTGAGATCTGTCGAGCCCTGTGTATTATATTATGTAACACACACATACTATTGTGCAAAAGTTAGGGTGTGAAGAAATGCTGTAAAGTAAGAACGCTTTCAAAAACCACACATTTTGGATTATCAATTTACAAAATGCAAAGTGAGAAAACAGAAGATCTAAATCAAATCAATATTTGCTGTGACTACCCTTTACTTTCAAACCAGCATCTATTCAATTCATCAGACTCTTTTGAAGAAGCACAAAGAAACAGACGTTTGGGACCATAGACGCAGTGGTTGGCCAAGAAAACTTAATGCAGCAGATAAAAGACAAATCATGCTTACTTCCCTTCAACATTGGAAGATGTCCAACAGTGCCATCAGCCCAGAACTGGCAGAAACCAGTGGGACCCACATACATCCATCTACTGTCTGGAGAAGTCTGGCCAGAGGTGATCTTCATGAAAGAATCATGGTCAGAAAGCCATACCTCCAACATGGAAACAAGGCTAAGGGACTCAACTGTGCATGAAAACATAGGAACTGGGGTGCAGAAAAATGGCAGCAGGTGCTCTGGACTGATGAGTCAAAGTTTGAAATGTTTGGCTGTAGCAGGAGGATGTTTGTTCACTAAAGGGCTGGAGAGCAGTACAATAACGAGTGTCTGCAGGCAACAGTGAAGCATGGTGGAGGTTCCTTACAAGTTTGGGGCTGTATCTCTGCAAATGGTGTTGGACATTTGGTCAGGATCAATGGTGTTATCAATGCTGAGAAATACAGGCAGATACGCAGAAGCGATGAGAGGCCTGGAAGTGATGGTTTGGCCCCCACAGAGCCCTGATCTCATGGAGTCTGTCAGGGATTACATGAAAAGGCAGAAGGACATGAGGCAGCCTACATCCACAGAAGATCTATGGTTAGTTCTCCAAGATGTTTGGAAAAACAAATCTGCCGAGCTCTTTTAAAAACCATGTGCACAAGCACTGTGTACCTAGAAGAATTGATGCTGCTTTGAAGGCAAAGTGTGGTCACACCAAATATTGATTTGATTTTCTCTTCTGTTCATTTACTTTCCATTTTGTTAATTGATAAATAAAAGTATTAAAATTTCTATTTCTAAAAGCATTTTAAAATTTATAGCATTTTTTTCAACTGCCTATAACTATTGCACAGGAAAAAAAAATGTTTCTCCTTTTCATATTCCAAATTCTCCTGATGCATGAATCACTCCTCTTCAAAGTGCTCACAAGGTGTTTTCGCCTCTAAGTTTAACTGGGCACTTTATTTACACACATTCATGGAACTGAGATTGGACATTTCTGTTTACTATACATGTATTAAAGTGTATTCCACCTCATGCAAACAGAAAAGGAGAGAAGATACACACATACATATGTATACACACACACACACACTAATTCTGTCTGACGCTCATGAACTGGAAAGGAAGGGTAACATTCTAAAAAAAAAAAAAAAAAAAAAAAAAAAAAAGGGAAGGAAGGAGGACGACACCAATAGCAACAAGGTCCAACCCTTCCTTGCTATAAAATGTTTATGTTGAGGTTTGTCAGTGCTAAGGTGATTTCCCCTATTTCCTGTTTGATACTAATAAATAAAAATAAAAAAAACCCCACATTTTTCAAATGTGGAGACAGACTGCAATCAAAAAGTGGTTCTAACACTTTTCAAAGTATACCGTATTTTTCGCTCCATAAGATGCACTTAGGTTTTAGAGGAGAAAAACAAGAAAAAAAAATATTCTGAACCAATGGACTGCAGACACAGTACAGGGGATGACCAGAGACTGCGGACACAGTACAGGGGATGACCAGAGACTGCGGACACAGTACAGGGGATGACCAGAGACTGCGGACACAGTACAGGGGATGACCAGAGACTGCGGACACAGTACAGGGGATGACCAGAGACTGCGGACACAGTACAGGGGATGACCAGAGACTGCGGACACAGTACAGGGGATGACCAGAGACTGCGGACACAGTACAGGGGATGACCAGAGACTGCGGACACAGTACAGGGGATGACCAGAGACTGCGGACACAGTACAGGGGATGACCAGAGACTGCGGACACAGTACAGGGGATGACCAGAGACTGCGGACACAGTACAGGGGATGACCAGAGACTGCGGACACAGTACAGGGGATGACCAGAGACTGCGGACACAGTACAGGGGATGACCAGAGACTGCGGACACAGTACAGGGGATGACCAGAGACTGCGGACACAGTACAGGGGATGACCAGAGACTGCGGACACAGTACAGGGGATGACCAGAGACTGCGGACACAGTACAGGGGATGACCAGAGACTGCGGACACAGTACAGGTGGATGACCAGAGACTGCGGACACAGTACAGGGGATGACCAGAGACTGCAGACACAGTACAGGGGATGACCAGAGACTGCGGACCTTTGGGGAAGGAGGGGGAGCGGGTACCTGAATTTGACAGGTACCCGCTCCCACTTCCGCAGAGTTGTCCTCCCTTTAGTGTGGGCACCTCGGTCCAGCACTGTACAGTCTTCCGGCGCCGGCATCTGTGACAGCCGGGTGCCCACTGCGCATGCGTGAGAAGCGCTGCGCTTTGTGAATGGCCCAGCGTCTTCTGGGACCTGTCTAGTGTCCCAGAAGACGCCGGACCATTCACAAAGCGCAGCGCTTCTCGCACATGCGCAGTGGGCACCCGGCTGTCACAGATGCTGGCTTGGGAAGATGCCGGCGCCGGAAGACTGTACAGTGCTGGACTGAGGAACAGGTAAGGTCCTGCTGCAGAGAAGAGATGAGCGGCCGGCCCAGTATTCTGACATGGTGGCAGCGGAAATACCAGGCCGGCTGCTCCATATTCACTCCACTCCATAAGATGCACTGACATTTCCCCCCCTTTTTTGGGAGGAAAAAAGTGCGTCTTACGAAGCGAAAAATACGGTAATCATACCAGCAGTGGGGCTTTAACCACTGGTGAGACTGGAGGTCGGATTTGGGTAACATTATGTCATATGTTTTAAGATGCGCTTTTGTCATTTTCTTTATGCTTCCATTCTTTTACATAGCAAATTTCAGGATATGTATAGCTGAGCATATATATTCAATGCAGTGCTCAGCATAAATGAGTACACCTCAACAGATTTGTCAGAAAACCTTTACTTTCCTTTTAACATTTTCTATGGGATACTATAATTCAAAATACTCTCACAAATGCGGGCCATTGATTGCAGACAAGATTGGTTAATTTGCACACACAAAAGTTAACTTTTAGACAAAATACTAGTTAACAAGAAATCAACTACAGGTGAGTCTAATTATTCATTAAACAGGTGTCCAGCAGGCAGCCGTTTATAAAAGGACATTACTTTAAAAAAAAAAAAAAAACCCTTCCCACTTCATGCTGTCAGCAATGGCACCACATGGAAGAGAAATGTCAAGGCCTGAGAAAGAAAATAATTTCTTTAAACAAGAAAGGTGAAGGCTACAAGAAGATCTGCAAAGCTTTACTTATGGGTCAGAATACTGTAGCAAAGGTGATACAAAAATTTAACAAAGTTGGAACTGCAACCATCTCGCAGAGACGTTCAGGCCGACCACGGAAGTTAACATCTCGACGAGAGCATCTTCTAATGAGAAAGATTTAAGAAAATCACCATGCAAGTACAATGCAGTTAGCTAAATAAGTAGAAAGCCAAACTGGGGTGATTGTTTCCTGTAACAATAGGGTGTACACTGCAGAGGGATGGCATGCATGGGTGTCGTCAACGAAGGAAGCCTCTTCTAAAGTCCATACACAAAAAAGCCTGCCTAGAATTTGCCAGGGCCCATGTTGGAAAAGAAGACTACCAGGACTCTGTACTCTGGAGTGATGAGACCAAAATATATGTTTTTGGAACTGAGGACTTAAAAACTGTATGGAGTCGCAAATATAAGGAGTACAAAGAAAAATGCATGGTGCCTACAATGAAACATGGTGGTGGCAGTGTCCTTCTGTGGGGCTGCATGAGTGCTGCTGGTATCAGGGAGTTGCATTTCATTGATGGTATCATGAATTCAGAGATGTACTGCTCTGTATTGAAACAGAAGAATCAGGGGTGTGGAATTTTTTTTTTTTTTTTTTCCCTAAAACAACAACTACTTGTCCAGGGACTAAATCGGGATCCCAATCTACTTGTCCAGATAAAAAAAATAAATACATTTGAACCAAAGCAGTATTTAAATTGTAGGTGATTTTAGGAATGTCTGGGGCTTTTAAAATCAAAAGGGGCTTTATGGCGACTTAAAACGTGTAATCATTTTAACATTGCACGGTTTACCTCCACCTCCCCTCCCTGCCTCTCCGTAGCACCACACCCAGTGACTAGGAGGGAGGGGAGACCTTACAGTGTAATGAGCACCAATTGGGTGCTTGTCAGGAAAGGGGAGTGTCCAGCTTATCCTTTATCCCTTTCGCCGCCAGAGCCGGTTTTTGCGTTTTTTTGCACACGTTTTAAAAAAATCATTTTAGCCTGAAGATTACACAAAACCCCCAAACATGATATATTTTCTGACAGCAGAAGAGAAAATAGCAGTAGGTCCAATTTTTTGTCACATATTACCGCAAAATGTCAGTAAAAATACAAGTTTTTTTTTTAAAAAAAAAAAACTATTTTTTGGTGACAGGTTCTCTTTGAGACATCCAGTGTCTAAAGCACCCTGTATGCCTCCCCTGAATGTAATGCAGTGCACATCACACTGCATTACATTCTTTCCCAGCCTCGATGGCCAGGAAATCTTTGACCAGGGACCTGGAACCAACATCATAACATCACTTCCGGGTCAGGACAAGGGGAGCAGATGTGTCCATCTCCTCCCTCCCCTCTAGCCGACTATGGTGAACCGGTCAAAAGGCCCGCAGATGGGCAAGCGGAGCCCGGGAGACAGTGGGCAGTTAATGTGGGAGGGAACAGAGGCTGGCACTGTGTGGAAGCAATCCGCGGCAGCACTGCTGCCCGAATGCTTCCACCTGACAGGCGAACCCTGCTGCTTGCCCGCAGCAGGGCTGAAGGATTAAAAAAAAAAAAAAAAAAAAAAAAAAAAAAAAAACACTACCTGCCCGGTACTACCTACCCAGGCGTCGGGCGGTATAAATTCAACATTGCCCTTGGTCGTCATGTACTTTTCCCACATGGCAATGATCCAAAACACACATCTAAAGGCCACTGTTTCTGAAGAACAGGGTGAAAGGGATTCAGTGGCCAAGTATGTCTCCTGATCTGAGCCCAAACACCTATGGGGAGTTCTGAAGAGACAATTAAGCTTCACTCTCCAGTCAGAATCGAGGCTCTAAAAGGTAATTCTTGAAAAATGGAAAAAAAAAAAGATAGATGTTGCAATATGTTGGCAACTTATTCATTGCAAGTCTCTAGAAGACTTAGTGCTGTCCTTACAAATCATGGAGGTCATACAAAATACTAGATGAAGTAGTTTTTGTTGTGAGATGTATTCATTCTTGCATCAACTAATTTGAGTAAAACTGAAGATTTTGTAATCAAAGTTATATTATTAACCTTACTTATGTTATGTTAGTTATGTATGTGTTCATTGAGATATTGATTAAAATGTTACTTTTCAAAAAGGGATGTACTCATTTATGCTGAGCACTGTATAAAACACACACAATTACTTTTATTGTACACACAAACTAGCATTAGTACCTAAACTGATATTGGCCTTCTACAAAGCAGCACCAAGGTGGGTTCCTTATACAATTCTCCAACCAAAAATGTAGGTACAACATTTGGGCGAATGTTTCATCAAACAATCACACAAGTGGTCAAGCAGTCTCTTTTTTAACTGAAATCTAAAGTTTTTAATCCATTAATGCAAATAGTAATTGGAAGCATATCTTCAAAGCCCAGCTAACTTAAATTTATAATGTAAAAATTTTACTGCATTATGAGAGTCTCAGAATCCTAAAAAGTTAAAGTAGATTCTGCAAGCAAAGTTGTATTAGTCTTTCCTGTTCAACATTAAAATGACAAGTGTAAACCTACCACTTGTATCAGATTACCCATTTTCTGCAACCTGTACGTAGGGAGCATGGCGATGTAACCACTAGAACAATGTTCGAAAATATGTGCTTGCCATTCCAAACCATCCTATCAAACAGCTTGGGAATCAGACCTTGGTGAAACGATAGAAGAGTAGACACAGTGGTCAACCATGGTGCACAGAGGAATACTCAACACCACTCTAGTGGAGGCGAACTAGAAGGTATTATCTAGCTGGTACCTCGTCCCAGCGAGGCTGGCAAAGATCTACCCTAGTGTCTCTCATCTTTGTGCTTCCGAGAATGTGGGCAGGTAAGTGATATGTACCATGTGTGGTGGTCCTGCCCAGAAACCAAACGATTCTGGATCAGAATACTTAGTCATGTTTTCACAGTAACAGGAGAGAACATCCCTAAAACCGCCAAAAACAGCACTATTCGCTGACATCTCGGATGAGATCCCCAGACACCTCCGAACCCTCATTTTCTTTATCTTCTCAGCTGCCAAAATAACCATAGCGCGAGCATGGAAGTCACCTGTGCTCAATATTACTCTAGCCAAACATAAAATCTCATGGATCATGATTAACGAAAAAATTGACCAGCATCCTCAGAGACAAACAAACGAGGTTTTAGAAGGTCTGGGATCCAGGGCTTGCATACCTTCAAGCCCCCTAGACAACTAGGTACTTTGTGGCTGTGGATCCGGAACAGGAGGACCAAGTCTCAGCCACCTTACACCCCCCCTCAACTTTTTTCACTTTGCTGTCCTTTGCTCGCCCCCCCCCCCCCCCCCACTTCAACCTCTACATGGCAGTCACTCAAAATGACAGTTAATTGATTTCTCCTTTTTTTTAGGTAAATGGGTAACCTTACTTATAGAGACCCATACGCAGGGTATAATGCTGCTATTTCGTAGGGCCAGCCAGCCAGTTTTGATTTTCCGTTTATATGCACTGTATTGGTTACACTCCGGCACTGGAATGTATCAGAGGGTGGGCCCTCTATTTGCCTTAACCCCTCCTTTTCCCTTCTACTTGTGAAATCAGTTTAACAGCAACTGTACCGCAGATTCATTTTTTTTTATAATTGAATAAAAAACTATTGGAAAAGGAAATCACAAGTGAAAGATTTCACTTAATGCAATATTTGACATGGTTGTTTCTTTAGCTTGTCAGCCCAGGCACTGTACCAAACACATTTTTAAATTTAACTTCCAGCCCCCTTACCCAGGTAAGTGCCATAGGTGACATTTCTGTACTCTTCCCATGATATAAGGCCATCTTGGTTCATGTCAAACTCCTGCCACTGACGCTCGACGTTGTCGTACACATATTTCCTTTGGGCTTTCTTGATCCATGCAGTCAGCTCCCCCTCCGTCACAAACCCATCCTTATCCAAGTCTATCTTACTTACAATGATTCTACAAAGAAAAAAAAAATGGCAGGGGTGAAGAGGATGCAGACAGGAACAACACCTACCGAGAATGTAACCATAGGTGGCATTTTTATATTCCTCCCACGACACCAGGTTGTCCCCATTGAGATCATGGCCCTTCCACTGGCGCTCTACGTCCTCAAAAATCCACCGCTTCTGAGCAAATTTTATCCAATCCCTTAGCTCTTCAACTGTAACAAGGCCATCCTTGTCTGCATCTATCTTACTCACAATCTTTCTGTTAAGCCATCATAGCATCCAGCAGAAAAGGAAAGAAAGGTGATATGTTAGCGGTCAGTCAATATCAAAAAGAGCACAGTTTAGCAAGAATGTATTTGAATGGAAGAAAACTGATGGAGAAAATAAAATGCTGATATGCAAGGTGGGCCACGTTAGAATGTACACCATTATTCCAGGAATATTGAGTTTGCCTTCCATGAATCAATGGCATTACGTTGGCATAGGTGTGAAGTGTATTTTGTGTTGGAAAATTGAAAAATTCATTCAAAATGTTGCCTTTTAGTACAACATTCAAATGTTTAACATTTTCTAAGAAAACCCAGGCAAATCATTATTTGGCAGATATATTAGCAAACATGACATGGATATTATCAAATACAGGAAAAGCCTCAATCGAATGTATAACATTAAAGCGGAACTTTACTCTCAGTCAATATTAAAGGATAAGTTCACCTTTCTGAATAGGTTACATGTTACACTCATATTTAGGGTGTAATATTTAACATGCTCAGCCTCAGACCCCTCTCCCCTGATGCTCCCCCTCCTTGTGGAAGTGAGTCAGGTATCTGTTCCCCATACTCGCTGCTACAATTCAAAGAAAGAGTTCTGTGAATTAATGAACTACACGTCTCGACATCCTTTGTGGCTGTTGGCTTGTAGTTCTCAATGAACTACCATGGTGCTTTTGGACGCTGAAGTAGTTAATAGAGTCTGTTAGTGTGAAACTGTCTGTCCATACGAGGTACAAGCATACCTCTCTCAGACCCTACATGTCTCATTAAAGAGTACCTGTCACCAAAAAATCATCACACAGGGGACTTTTTTTTTTACATTGTAAAAAGTTACACCCAAGCACATAAAACCCCCCCAAAAATTTTGAGCCCCCCACACCCTTGTACGAATGTGAACACACACGTCGGGATGCCTACACATGGAAACGTCGATTGAGACATGCCGCAATGAGAGCAATAATTCTAGCACCAGAGCTCTAACACTAAACTGATGACCTATAGGGGACTTAAAAGGGTCACCTATATAAAAATTTAGGGTAGTCGCGATTTCACGAGTGCACGCAAACGTAAGGATGACATGTTGGGTATGTACTTGGTGCAACCTCATCTTTTATAAAAAAAAAAAAAAAAAAAAAAAAATGGTTTATTGCCTTTTTGTGCCCTAAAATTAACTAGACACTTACCCTTAGGAGGATTTAAAAAAAAAAAAAAAAAAAATCTCTCAATAAGTGTATAACTGGTTTACGTGAAAGTTATAGCGCATACAAATGGCAGTATATATACACTGGAATTTTTTTTTTTTATAGTAATGGTGGCGATCATCGATTTATAGTGGGACGGATTCTGACACTGGGTGGGAACTATCTGCCAATGACATCCCCAGTGACATGAAAACAGTGATCAGTGCTAATAAAAAGCACCGACACTGTACTAATGACACAGGGCAGGGAGGGGTTTGCATCTGGGGCGAGCAAAAGAGTTAACTGTGTGTGTTTTACATTATGTGCTGTGTTTTACTGTGCAGAGAAATACAAAGCAGCATGTCCTTGCTGACAGGAGAGACACCTGTGTTGTTTAGACACAGGTCTCTCCACTGTCAGCTCTGCCTACGATCACCGAGGCCCGGTGATTGACATGCCCAGCAGACAATAGCGGCATGTGCGCACCCCCTACCTGGAAATACAAATCACGTATATTTACATGACTTTGCGCAGCGCTGCCGCCCTGTAGCAGTACTCCTCCTTTAGGGTGGCAGGAAAGTGGTTAAGTGTGTTTTTTTTTTTTACTAAAGTTTTGCGTTTGCTAGACCTATGCGGTAATATCGTTTAGCAAAAAAAATTGGAACTACCACTATTTTATTCTTTAGGGTGTCCACTTTCAAAAAAATATAGAATGCTTGTGGGTTTTGTATAATCTGCAGGCCTACAAACATTTTTTAAACATGTGCAAAAAAAAAAAAAAAAGGGCTCTGGCAACGCAAGTTCACCGTTGGGAACTTTACATATTCTACTCATTTTTAAGGTGGAACATAGAACATATTCCCGATCCTGCAGTGGCTTTGCAATCCAAGCCCTCTCAGTTACAGCAGTATGGGGAGAAGTTTTTTTTTTTTTTTTAAATTCCCCACGAAAGCGCTATCTGTAAAAGAAGAGTAAATAATATTTGCCCGTCACCGGCGCCACCAAATTGGGAGACATTAAAAAGGATAAGTTCACCTTTGGTAACATGTTACATGTTCTACCCGTTTTTAGGGTGGAGCACGTAACATGGTCCCACTCTTGCAACGGCTCAGCAATGCAAGCCTTCTTTGTGACAGCAGTATGGGGAGATGCTCCTCGTACCAGCTGTCTTTTTTTTTTTTTTTTTAAAAAAGCGCGCCTGTGTGGGGCTCCCGCCCACTCAGCCACGTCATGCATTTACAGAGTTCTGTGAATAAATCAACTGAGTATTGACATCCTTTGCAGATGGCAGCTTGTAGATCTCAATGGACTACTATGGCGCTGTTGAGCGCTCAGGTAGCTCACTAATTCTTCCTGTCAGTGTGAAACTGCCTGCCCATATGATGTACAGACAGACATTACACCAACAGTCTGCAGGAGTCCTGCATTACATTCACAATCTGCTGATCAATGGTGCAATTGATTTACAGGCTCAAACCCCCCCCCCCCCCCCCCAAAAAAAAAAAAAAATAATGCACTTTTTTTGCAGGTAAAGAAAAAAAAATGCATTTTTTTCTTTTTTAAAAGGTTAACTTATCCTTTAGCAGAGAAGAAACCTGAGCTTGGTTTAGCTGCTCAGCAGGCGTCAGTACTGAGCACCCAAGTGTTTCCATGTGCAAGGGTAACCTGAAGGTATAAAGTTTTTTGTTTTTCCATTGGATCATTTACTTTCTCTGCAGATGCACTTCTGCTGAATGTTAGGAAAGCCCAAGACTCCCCTTTCCCATTGAGCACCTAATCGGTGCTCATTACACTGCAAGGTCTCTCCCCTCCCTGCTAGTCCCCGGGTGCGGTGCTAGAGAGGCAGGGAGGCGAGGAGGACATAAAAAGTGCAATGTTAAAAATAATAAACGTTTAAGTTGCTATAAAGCCCCTTTCGTTTTTAAAAGCCCCAGACATTCCTAAAAGCACCTCAGATTTAAACACGGTTTTGGTTAAAATGTATTTATTTTTATCTGGACAAGTAGATTGTCATGAGGGACAAGTAGATTGGGACCCTGATTTATTCCCTGGACATGTAGTTTTTTCAAAAATTTCCACACCAGAGTATGCTTTGAATATTAGAAATTAAACAGTTTTTTTTTTTTGTGATGCTGAGACACAGTTAAGTTCCGCTTTAATGCCACAAAGAATGACAGCTGGGGACTGGATGACAGCAAAATAACTGATATTATCCATATCACAGACAGCAAGCAGAGCACTAGTAAGGCAAATTCTTTTAATTCTATCACCAGACTGGTTAATTCAAACTGAGCATAGGATGTAGAAATACATAAACAGAGGTTACCTTCAGTGAAAACGGCATATCGATACAAACAGATCCAGAAATAGAAGCAGCTGAATTTATATGCAAATCACAACTTTTGCAGTAAATGCCAAACTTGGCTTCAAGCCTTCAAAAAACTCTTTGTTTCTTTATTGCAATCCTGACTGCCCAATGGAAATTCTTGGAAAAAAAAGACTGAGGTATACATTCAGCTGCCTATATATCTGGAGCTACTGATCATTTATTACTGAATCTAATTATCAACACTTTTTTTATCACTTACTCAGTTTGAATTATACAGGTTTGTGGAATATTTACAGCAAAACATTTGTAGCAGCCATATAAAGCCAATCAAAAAGATCTGCGAATCTTAAGATAATCTTATAGACATAGGAAACAATTCATTTCTGTGCATGAGCATTATTCCATAGGGTCAGCTGGAATACAGTTCAGCTATAGGAATGAAAGGGGCTAGAGTGCTGGTATGCACCAAGGAGAAGCCAGTGGGGATATTTTCAGAAGTAAGGCTGTGTGGTCTTGATCAGGGACGCACAGTTAAGAGAACTGGAAGGAAAAGGATGGTTTAAAACAAAACATTTAACACAGAAGGCTGTATCTAGTGGACTGATTAAAAGTCAAGTTCAATAAAAATGAACTTGCCCTTTAACACAACACATACCCTAGCCTCTCCTTGCTCTCCTCTGGTGTAAGCTGATCAAATGTCTTCGCTTCTTCTGCTCCTAGAAAAGCGTCATGGTCATAATCAAAGCTCTGGGAGTCATCATGTACTTTGTCACTGAGTTGGGGGTCATGGTGGATACGATCTTTTTTCTCAGTAGGTTTGCAAAGGGCACAGAGAGCCCAAAGGGTGAGACTCAACAGGAGGTAGTGCTTGTCCATTGCTTTAAGAAGTCACCTTGATTATCCAAAATAAAGACAATTCCCAATTAAAACAACACCTGGTAAACATCCACAATGCATTAAACATGAAATTTATAACATTATCGTGTAAAAAGAAAGTATTGCATAAAACAACCTAATTGCTGTCAAAATAAATGTAAAAAATACTACTGTACAGATATGGGGAAAAAACAGCTTGGCTCCATATTCCGTTATCAGTATTAGGGGGACACTGATAAACGGTTTCCTTACATTGTCCAATCTGCTAAAATTAGCATATTTGCATTTTTCCAAAATGCTGCCTTAGGCTGCATTCACAGCTGAATGTTTTGTAGCTTGAAGCTTGAAAAACACTCAAACTTACAAAATCAATTGTTCTCTATGGTGCCTGTTCCTGTGGTCAGGTGTGAACAGGCACCAGAGAACAATTCATTTTTTTTTTTTTTTTTTTTTTTAAGTTTGAGCTTTTTTTGGAGCTTCAACCTTCAAGCCACAAAGTCCTCAAGTGTGAACGCAGCCTAATGCTTATAAGTTCTGTGAGAGATGCCAGGTTGGATTATCTTGCTAAATAGGTGATCACATGTAAGAAAAGACCAAGTGGCCATTTGTTCACACAATCAAGAAGAAGAAGAAAAAAAAAAGACCGTCCCTTTGGTTGTAAAACAAGTCAAAAGACAAAATGCTAACATATTTTCATGCTAAATACACGTGACCTGCACATGTGTTAATAAAGGTCTTCTATACTGTATACACATAATCAAAATCCATAAACTGAATACTAACATTAAAGATATTAAACAGCTGCCATACAATGTTTTCAATTTTAGTTCAGAAAAAACAAAAACAGTACAAATAAATCAGAAGCTGGGACATACTGCCAAATAGCCAGTATTTTGAGAGATTATATATCAATGGTGGCCTCATGCAGCTCAACATAACCGAAAGGTGGCACATAATTTTTGTTGAAATTTAACCAGTTGCTTATACCTTGAAAATATACCAGTGGGGGTATTTTACAATAAGGCTCCACTGACACATTGTGTGGTGGCAGACCCTTTACTGCATTGTAAAACACCTGTCACCACAAGAACACACAGAAAACTATTGTTTTCCTGTGTGTCCCATTCACACTGCAACACAGCCTGGAGCTGCACTAAAATGCAGGTATGCTGCATCACAGCGCACTGAACAGAATTGCATGGCACTGTACAAGAGCACAGCATGCTGCTGTGCAGCACCATGAATCAAGTGTATACTTAAAAAAACAAAAACCCTAAAACCCTGTGATGCGTTGAATTGTGCACCACACCACCACACCCTAGCGCAGTCAGAAGCTGACAGTTGCTGAACAAGTAAAGCGCTCCGGCACCTGTGCACTAGTGTGAAATGGCTGTAATTTGTGTCTCTGCACTGGCCCAAAGGACCACTGCAAATGTATCACCCTCCTGCAGCTGAACTAAACATTTCTTTATTCTCAACAGTGTGGGGGGGGGGGGGGGGTATCTTCTCCCCCTGCTAGCAGTCACAATTTAAAAATACAGCAGCTGTGCTGGGCTCTGCCCCCCTGGCCACATCATTCATTCCCAGTGTTCTGTGAATGGGAAGACTCCAATAGCCTTTGTACAGTTCTAGCCAAAAGTTTTGAGAATAACTCAAATAATTTTCAGTCTGCTACTTCAGTGTTTTTAGATCTTTATATTACTGTGGTGTACAGAAGTATAATTACAAGCATTTCATAAGTGTCAAAGGCTTTTATTGACAATTACATTAAAGCGATTCTAAGGTTTTTTTTTTTTTTTTAATAAACATGTCTACACTTACCTACTGTGTACAGTGCTTTTAAATAGAGCAGCCTGGACCCTCCTCTTCTTGGGTCCCCCTGTGGGCTCTCCTAGCCCCTCTCCTCCTGTCGGGTTCCACCACAGCAAGCACTTGCTATGGGGGAATCCACTGCTCCGTGTGTCCATTCACACATGCAGCCATGGCTTGGAGCCGCCCCCTCCTTGGCTGACTGGCTGTGATGCTATGCAGAGCCATACAAAGCAGTGTGCTGGAACTGACAGCGGAGAGAACTGTATTATTTACATACAGTTCTCTTCCCCCCGTTGGTATTATTCAGTGATCACTGGGTGCCAGCGAGTAATCACTGGGATTGACAGCAGAGGCCACAAATGGCAGCACAGGTAGGGCGTGCGTGCCCCCTACCCGGAAATGCAAAAATCACATATATACACATAATTTTGTACACCCCTGGCACCCTGTAGCAGTATTTCTGCTATAGGGTAGCGGCAAAGTGGTTAAAGTATTAGGCATGTTAACGTGTAATGGAAAAAACTTTTTTTCTCCAATCTGGATAGAGGGGGGAGGGATTAAACCACAGTAAGGTCTTTATTACTGTCTGTTTCGGGTTAGGGAGATTCCCTCTCTGCGATTGTGCTGATCATCAATGACACCAGGCAAGAAAGTGATCCAAATTGTTCAGCTGCCACCAGAACAGGAAGAGAAATCTTCCAATGGGAACACTTGCTCCCCTAACAAAGAGGGAATTCCTCTCCACTGGAATGATGCCTTTTTGCTAGTAATTGAGTTTAAAAAACAGGCAGTGAGGGGAGATCTGCCAGAAGGCAAAAATGACAGCAGTTTTAACCCTCTCCTACTCTATCCAAAATGGGAACAAAGTTTCACATCTAGATAAACGTTAAAGAATAATTTGAGGTACTGGCATGTTATACATAGTTGGTCCAATGTATATAAGAATATACAATACCTGGTGGATGCCCCTGGACATCACTGACGTAGATATTGCTGGTTGAGTGATCTCTGCTTGCTTCCGGTTCCGAATGGACAAGGTGGAGGGGGCAGGGCAGTGATGTCACAGTCTCCACCTCGTCCGATCAGAGAACATTTTACATGCATTTAGAAAATGCAAAGCATTCTTTGAATGGCACCTGTGCTGAGTGGAAGCAAGTGCAGATCACTGGAGTAGCAGTGTCTACTTTGGTGATTTCCAGCTTCCAGGGAGATCAGCCGGGTATGTTATATATATGGTTACACTGAGCTGGACAAAGTAACTATATATTTGTATCACAGGTACTTCTACAGTGTCATCAATTTACACAGCGCTTTGTGTGTGTGTGTATATATATACACACACACATTCACATTAGGCCCTAACCCTCAATGAGCATACAATCTAAGGTCCCTAACTCACATTCATACATACTACGGCCAATTTAGACAGGAACCAATTAACTTACCAGCATGTCTTTGGATTGTGGGAGGAAACTGGAGTACCCTTAGGAAACCCGCACAGGGAAAACATGCAAATTCCAGGCACGCAGTGCTGTGGTTGGGATTCAAACCAAAGACCAGAGTACTGCCACGCGGAAGTGCTAACCATTTAGCCACTGTGCTACCCATGTATAACATGCCTATGTCTGGAGCTATTCTTTAAGGGCCAGTTCACACCACAAAAACACACTCCAGATGCGTTTTTGCTGACAGTTTACACCACACTCCATTCTGGTGCGCTTTCTGTGTTCCAGTACAGTTCTGTGCAGAAAAAAAAAAATGCAGAATGTTCTACTTTTTTTTCTGCGCCGGAAATTGACTGCACTGTATGAACTATGGCTATTGAAATACATGGACTGCACTTTTGATGCAGGAAAAAAACAAAAACACATTGGACCTCTGGAGACTTTAAAAGTCCACCCTCCTAGTTGGGCTGCCAGCTGCCCCCACAAGAAATAAATGCTCAGTTAGATTAAGATCAAGGCCACAAAATGCAGATTTACCCACTCCTCTCCGTCCAGTGCTCCAACAGTGATCTGTCCCTCAGCATTCAGTAAAGGGCTTTGGGCTCTGCACTGGCCTTGATGACATCAGAGGAACTGGAACCTCTGGGGCACAGGGGAGAAGAGTACACGAGGTCTGAAGGAGGCCTGTCATAGCAGAGGATCAGGTAAGTAAAATTGGTTTTGCAGCCTACTGACCTAAATGAGCATATAACCCTTCCAATGCCAGCCCCGCTGTCAGGGGAGGAGACTTCAGCATTAGGCCTCATGCACACAGGGGCACCTGGCTCTGCGTCTAGATGCTCCTGCATGTTCTCCTATGTGTCCATGCATGTATAGGCTTTTACAGGAGTTTAGAGGCAGAAAATATAACCACTGCCAGTATATCCAGCACCTATGGCAGAAATAAAGGGATTGATGCCTGTAAATACACCTCAAGCACCAGACCAGTTTAGTGTGTGAGCGTTAACTCATTTCAATGTCTAGATGATATTTTACTGACCAATGAAATCAATGCCCAAGCACTTGACACACCTAAACACGTTACACACATTGACAAGCGTCATGCATTTTTTTTTTTCTGCCAAACCGCTGCTGCCAGGAGGAAAGGCCTGCAGGAGAGATGGCAGAACGTCCTGTGTACACGAGGCCTGAATGGAGATGGAGCTGTGTTCACTCTGAACAGCCAATCATGTCTGAGGAAAATAATGGAACATGATTGGCTAAAGTGAACAAGGCTTCTCCTTATATACCAGCCTATGTCCCCCCCCCCCCCCCCCCAATACCTTGCTGCCCTCTATGACCAGGTCACATCTATGGGGCAGTGCCCCCCACACAGCCCCATCTCTCTATACAGGCATCTCCTCTGGGACAAGCCATGAGAATGCAGCACCCCTAGCCTGGGCCCACCACTCCCACCATATTGGTGTAATGTCTGTAGGGTGCCCCATAAAGGACCGCTCCGCTCCGGACACCCTCCTAGTTCTATGTATAGGGAAGCCACCACACAACATTAACCAGAAACACGCACGGCTCCCTCCTCACTCACACCCCACATGGACGTTATCAGCCCGGACTTTATGTCACACACAAGAAGAAAACCACCAATGTCTCTCCACCATTCCTCAGCCCGTTACCTTAGCGGTTTCCCTCAGCTCCGCCCGACCTGCCCCGAACACGCCGACACCGGAAGCAGCTGCTCGCCTT